TTTTTTTTTAAATATCACCCTGTACATTTCTTCAGTTTATCTTATTCGCCTTGGAATTCTCTATCCAACCATGTATCACAAAGAGAATAAGTTGGCTGTGACATGAATTCGATGATATATCGACACTTGGTAGGCTTTGAAATTTAAAGATCATTAGTAAACCGATATTATTCAAAATGTTTTGATATTCTGATCAATGTCTGCAGGTTGTCAATAGCTTGTTTTAGTCAAGATGAAAACCTTCGAAAATAACTCATGATATTGAGGAATCTAAGATAGGAACATATTTTTTCGAATTCAGCTACTCGTACAGAAACTATCTGTCTTTTATTTTCGCCATGTACCTATCACATGATCTTCCCATTTGAAATGATAAAACTGAAATTGTTCCTCTTATACGATGATCCACAGGGCAATCAGTCTATTTTTTCATAGTTATTTCACTTGTACAGGGTGATTCACCATAAATGTCCCCCCCTCTAGCTCAGTTATTTTTGAACCGATTTTAAAATTTGAAATATAATCTTGAATGATTTTCGATAAAGTTTTTTTCCGCTAGATCAGAAAATACAGGGTGCTCGGAACAAACGATCTACAGGGTACTATTTGATTTTTTTAAATGAAACACCCTATTTTTCATTGTATTTTTAGATTCTCCCTGAAGAGCTGATTTGATGAATGTATCAACTTGGGGTCTAGCGGGACTGATTACAGAGATATAGGGTGTACAAAATCGGGATTTTTACCTTTAGGATTTTTTTGTGACGAAACTATTCATTATCGGTCACGCGGTTTTCATGTCCGTATCTTAACTTTTGATTTACTATCTACTGACATTTAATAATTGGAACAGATACAGGGTGACCAGAATTCGGAATCTTGAACCACCCTGTAAATGTTCCAATTAAATTTCACTTGATAGTAAATCAAAAGTTGAGATGGGAACATAGAAGCCGTTTTGACCAATAATGAATAGTTTCGGCACAAAAAAATCCTAAAGTTGGAAAATCTCGATTTTAAACACCCCATATATCTCTGTAATCATTCCCGCTAAACCCCAAGTGTGATACATTGATGAAATCAGCTCTTCAGGAAGAATCTAAAAATACAATAAGATAAAGGGTGTTCTATTTAAAAAAAACAATTAGTACTCTGTAGATCGTTTGTTCCGAGCACCCTGTATTTTCTGATGCAACGGGAAAAAATTTCTGAAAAATCATTTTAGAATATCTTTCAAATTTTTAAAACGATTCAAAAATAAGTGAGCTAGAGGGGGGGACATTTATGGTGAATCGCCCTGTACCTACACAAAATGTTTTATGTTTGACAGTTATAATCGATTGCATCAATAATTTTTCTTATTCATTTGTGTGTTGATTAAAATTGCATATTATCAATAGAGACGGAAAATGTATTCAAGAAACGAAAAAGTCGATATGTTGTTGTTGATTACATATATCCACCTCTTTGTCGATGCAATCGGTTAACTGTCAAACACATAAAACATTTTGTGTAGGTATACCCGCCTACTTAAGTGAAATAATTATAAAAAATAAACTGATAGCCCTGTGGATCATCGTATATAAGAGGAACAATTTTAGTTTTATCATTCCAAATGGGAAGATCATATGATATATAGGTACATGGCGGAAATAAAAGACAGATAGTTTCTGTACGAGTAGCTAAATTCGAAAACATATGTTCCTATCTTAGATTCCCCAATATCATGAGTTATTTTCGAAGGTTTTCATCTTGACTGAAACAAGCTATTGACAACCTGCAGACATTGATCAGAATATCAAAACAATTTGAATAATTTCGGTTTACTATAATGATCTTTAAATTTCAAAGCCTATACCAAGTGTCGATATATATCATCGAATTCATGTCACAGCCAACTTATTCTTTTTGAATAAAAAGCAATTCAACAGCGAATCAAGAAATAAATGCCACCATGTGATACATGGTTGGATAGAGAATTTTAAGGCAAAAAAGATAGACTGAAGAAATGTTCAGGGTGACGTTAAAAAAAAAGTTGGGGTTATTTCCGGTCAAACAGGTGGTTGAAAAAATTGTCGTTAAGTTCGTACCATTTATTATATACCCCCTGTGAATTTCAAAATTTTATCTTTTCAAATGAAAAAACTACAGGTCTCCTGTGTCACCCGGTATAGAAAACCATAGATGGGCCAAATTTGAAAATTCAGTAGTTCACTATTGTTGATAAGTGCTATCCGGCTATAATAATTTGAAAATTGTGGCACTTCTGGTTGTACCGGAAGTGGACCCCAACTTCGTTATTTTAAATAGGACACCCTGTATATTTTCAAGGTTTCAGATTTTGAGCATGATTTTGAACATGTTTCATGGCGTCTTTAAGACGTACATGTCGGGACATAAGTACGTCTTAAAGACGTACATATTACGCCCAAGAGACGTCTTTAAGACGTCTTTAAAACGTACATTTTCCACTAATATGTACGTCTTTAAGACGTCTTTTTTAGGTGTTTTTGGTCCATGACCTCAAATTGATCTTTCAAATAACGGAAAAATCACATAGTTTCAGCTAATTTTCACCTGTGCACAAGTGCAGACAAGCAAAAAAAAAAGAAAAAAATGACTTCATCAAACGGTAGACACAAGCGGTTACCCATTCAAGTACTAACCGCGCTCTTTGTTGCTTGACTTCGATGATTATACCATACTCACTTCTTCTGTTACTCTGTTTGTTCTATATATCACATAACAAGCTTTTACTTAGTTTAACATGTCCTTGATGTGTCTGATGTTTGTAATCAAAACGTGCAAGTTAAATATTTGACTCACTTTAAATCGTCCGATATTGATTTGAAATTTGGCAAGTAAATATTATTCCGGTGACAATTCGTTGTGATATTATTATTGAATGGAAAAAAACAGAATGGCGGATCCAATATGGCGGACGATTTTCTCATTGATTATGTTCCGATTCGAATCAAAATTCAATATTCAAGATGGTGAATCCAATATGTGGCATATGGTTTTCTGATTATGGTCTGATCTGATTCAAAATTGGCATCTGAAGGATTTTGGGATCAGAGATTATAATTCCTTTCGTCGAAAATGAAAAATCCAAGATGTCGGCATCAAAAATGGCGGACGAGTTTCGTGATTATAGTCCGATTTTATTCAAAATTGATTACTATGGGACTTTTGGGGTCGGAGAATATGATTTTTTTGTAAAAATTCGAGAATCTAACACGAAGGCTCCAAAATGTCGGACGAAAAAATTCAAAAACATCACTTTTGTTGAAAATAAGAAAAAACTGAACAATTGAAAATAAAAAACGTGAAGAGATGACATTTTGTTTTTCTTCAGAAAATAACTTACATTATTGTTCTATAAATCGAATTGACGTACTGGAATGTACGTCTTTAAGACGTCTTTTATACGACATGGGAGGAACGACGTGGATACGACCTAAAATGTACGTCTTAAAGACGTAAATTCGTGTACATGGATTTACATCTTAAAGACGTACTTTATACGTCCCTGGACGTAAAGACGTAAGTAAGTCGTAAAATGTACGTCTTTAAGATGTCTGGTGCTGATTGGGCTGTCTAACCGTTTTCGAAATATTTCAAATTTTAAGTTGAAAATTGCGTTTGCAGACTGAAAAATATTTTTTTTTTATTTCTGAACATAAAATCATCTATTCTCGATTGTGTATCGATTTATTCGTAGTAGAATTTCGATATCGATTCGATATAACAGAGTGTCCTATTTGAAATAACGAAGTTGGGGTCCACTTCCGGTACAACCGGAATTAAGTGTCACAATCTTCAAAATATTTTAGCCGGATAGCACTTATCAACAATAGTGAACTCCGTGTAGATTCTAGGTGTATTATAGGTATCGAGTTAGCCCAAATAAAATGGCTTAAACGCTAACGGCAATATTTTTGAGCATTTACTATGAAAGAAAATAATGTTCGGAATTTTTTTCATGTTGGATATTATTTGTTTGATTGAAAATTGTGTTTCCGTCATCCATATAAATATTATTCCTTTAAATAATAAACAATTGTTTCATTTTCATTTTTGGTTTGGTATTAGAGAATATTACGTAATATGTGTTGTAAGAAGAATATTACGCACGAATGGAAAAGTTACCCACGTCCTAGCCGCGCATTATATACGTACTATACTTTTGTTATATAGTTATATTACGTACTATACTTTAGTTATATACTATATCACATATAGTAGGTACACTCGTCTTCAGTTAACATGTCGCGGTTGGACGGTATGAGCGCACTTATTGCAGCGATGATCAAGAGAGCTGACACCGTCAATGTGCGACATGATCTCTGAAGACGACTGTACATCAAAAAAGTTTGGACAAACCGTTTGAAGTATAATTCTTGACAGTTATATGTCATCCGCTGTTGAGAAAATAAGCGTACCTACGCCACCTATCGGAGTTCTTGAAAGCTGTCAACGTGGCTTGTTTGTGCTTATTGGTCATAGCATCAAAACAAACCGCTCAGAAGTGTTCCAGTTGTTGCCGTCAGATGAGGCGACGTGTTATTTTCTGTGCGATATATGTGCTAACTGTGTGTAAAGAGCTTCTTATCATAGTGGCTGGGTTAGACAAAAATGCCCTGAGTATCTCCATTCCTTTTTTAAACATTTATTTTTTAAGAAAATCGAAAACTATCAAGAAAAAATGTCAGATCTCCAATTTGACAATTCCATTTTGTAGAGGAGGAAAAGTGCGGCAATGATGAAGTGATATTTCAATTTGAAATATCTGTTCTTGAAATAAACTCACTAATGAATAAAAACGATTTTGCATATTTTTGCAATTTCAAAGCAGTGTTTTGTTGAGCATGAAAAGGTGAAACTTTGCCCTAATTTAACCTAATATGTATATATAAGGTTATACTGAGATCCCCATGCTCAACCACGAAGTTGTAACACCCTGTATAGCTGTTTATTACTTTTTTTCAGATGAAAACTTCTCATGAAATTTCTACAAATTTTATTAGTATTTACAAAATTAATTAAACAAATGAACACAAATACAACACAATTATTCTAGAAAAATAACAACAAATAAAGCAGATGATGTACAGAATTGCTAATCAATCATCTTCAGCAGTTCCATTATGTCCTTCCTCAGCTTCAGTATTCTCTTCTCCTTTCTTTGTTTTTGTTGATGGTTTCTTAGCTTTTGAATCCTTGAAATCTGTGGAAAATATATCTATATATACTAAATGCCAATAGGTATTGAAAATGGATAATTAAACATATATATTTAAGGACATATATGCAGACATAGCTTCTTCTCTTAATTTATAAGTACAAGCATATTAATATAATAATCCACAAAAAGTAATTGATGAGAATGATAGAGGTGAAGAGAGTATTATTGAAAAAATGAATGTAATGAAACAAATAATAATGTTATTGGTAGAATATTTTATACATACTTAAAAAGAGTTTATACATGGAAATAGAGAATAGGTATACCTTTCAATGCCTCCTCAAGAGGTTCAATAAAATTCTCAAACTCCAATTCTTCCAAGGCCTTGATAACATCTTTCCCAACCAATGTTTTTCTATTCACCTTCTGGGCCTCATTTGAAGCTTGAGATGTTACATACAAGACGAATACAGAAGCTGCTCTAGATAAGGCTGATCTCGCATCTTTGCCTATATTAACTGAATCTGGCAGTGCTTCTTTAATGATTTTATGAACAGATGCATTTGGCAAATTCAAATCTTCCAATTTTTCAGCCATTATTAGGAATTCGGGAATGCAATATACCTCCTTTAACGATGATATTTGGAATTCGTATCGGATTCACTTAAATCTAAATCTTCAATTTGTAGCAAACTCTCAGAAGTTTTAGAACGTATTTCCCACCAAAAACAATAATTTCTTGAGGTTATGTTTATGTTTAGAAAGAGATGAAATTATTCTTCTTATTTTATGACTTCTGCTCCACAGGGCTATTGACCATAGTCGGTTTTGAGGTTATGTCATATTTCCTAGTTTTTTAATACTTGTTTAAAAAGTTGATAAGTTTATATTATAATTCAATTATATTATTATAATTTAGCTTCTTAAAATCATGATTAATGTTTTGGAGTTTTGGATATGCTCTTACACTAATCTGTGCTACATGCAGCTTTAGTGCTCCTAGCAACCAGCATCTTGGTGAGAATGGTGAGAAAAATGTTTTGTATTGCTAGGGCTTCTTTTCATTTTTCAACTTTCAGGAAAATATGATTTGTCCTATGTGTGGTTCATCCTTAAAGCTGAAACAGATTAATTTCACAATTGCTATCTACATATGCATTGATCTTAAATGCCCTTATCCAGTAAATGAGCAATGTTTAGAAGTCTATAGGAAATTGGGGAATATGAACTCAGATATGATTATCCCTGAGCTCCATACAGCAAACAATAATAATTCTATTGAAAGCTCCAACAAAAACAACAAACAGGTATCACCTCCCATTGCAGAAGAAAATAAGGATTTTGATTTGGATTCATTAGTTGAAAACACTCTAACAAACTTGAATAATTATATAAACCAGAATGAAACACCATCAACACATACTGCTGGGCAAGAAATAGGCATGTTTAAGGATGAAAGGAATGAACAGTTTCAGACAGTTCATATAAATAATGAAGAACATTTGGATGAACTTGAAAGCATATTCAGTGAACTGAGATAGGCAAAGATAGGACATTTGGAAATTGGGTAGGAGAGCCAAGAAACAGATGTAAATATTCTCAGATTCACTAGAATTTAGTGAAAAATTTGGAGATATCCAAGGAGATGCTTTTACATTTCTGATGAGGAAGAAAAATGTGTTAAACATTAAATTATTGTTTTCCCTTAATAGTTAGGGTCCCTTGATAAATAGTTATGTTATGTATGTGCTGGAGAAGGAGAAGTACCTTGGTGCCTCGGCAGGAATGTGCCAGGACTGCCAGGAGAGGTGTGCGAGGTGCTAGGTGGAAGTCTGCTTAAGTGCTTATGTGCTTATCACTGGCGAACAAGAAGAAGAAGAAACGATGGTTGAATCTGCCATTTTCCGCCTTTGCTCTGCTGAAACATAACAATTTTTATCTGGCAAAGTCAGGCAGCAAATCCATACACTTGACTGATGAGTGATGACAGTGACAGTCGTGACTAATATTCTATTTTTAGAAATGATGTCATATGTTACTTTTGCAATTTTTCTTCATAATATTTGATATTTATTATAATTTATTTTGCATTGAAACCGAATTAGATTGATATTGTTGTTCTTTGTGTTTGTATTTGTTTTCATATTTGGATTGAATAGAAATACCAGGGATTTGAATTACAGTAACAGTCTGGGAACAAAGGAAGGTATGTTGAAGATAAAAGTTGACATTCTTTTATAACACTAGTAATTAATCATCCTTTCAGGTTTGTATGGAAGTATTGTCTGATACTCTGTACTACTTTCTGTTGAGTTTGGTGATACTACCAGTCAGTTTATTTTTCAGTTTGTGGAGTTGGTTGGGCTGGGAACTGTTCAAAAACAACTGAAATGAGCCAATTCAACAACCACCAAGAACAGAAAGCAACAATAAACAACATGAAGAAAAGCCTAACCTTGGATTTCAACCTCAAAAAGAATTTGCCATTGTCCAACACAGGTGTCTTGTCCTCCCCAGACTTGAATATGCTGAAAGTTGATACACCAGAGCTGGAGAATATGATTCTAGCAAATGGTATGCCCAGCACTCCCACACCTTCTCTTCTGTTCCCTCGTACTGTGACTGCTGAGCAGGAGAGATTTGCAGGAGGCTTTGTGGAAGCCCTGAGTCACCTGCACAACAGCAACTCTCAACAGGGCTCTGACAGCAACAGCAGCACATTATACAATGAGTCTTTCATGCCCCAGATCAAAGAGGAGCCCCAGACTGTTCCAAATATGAGTCAGTCACCTCCATGTTCTCCAGTTGACATGGAATTCCAGGAACGCATGAAACTGGAAAGGAAGAGGCAGAGGAATCGTCTGGCTGCTTCCAAATGTAGGTCTAGGAAATTGGAACGAATTTCAAAATTGGAAGATAAGGTGAAGATTTTGAAAAATGAAAATGTTGAGCTTGGTTCAATTGTGAATCAGCTCAAAGAAACAGTTGGCTTACTCAAGTTAGAAGTCATTGAGCATAACAAAGCTGGATGTCCCATCATAATGTATTGATTCTCTCAGAATATTTATATTTTTATACATATAGACATAAGATAAATTTGCATTCTATAATATGAGATCTATAATAGTATAGCCATCTGGCTAGAATACCTACCTATAGTAATCATTTCTAAATTTGATCTACTTCTATCAGGTCCTCTGAAAAGTATATATTGTAAAGTTAAATATTTCATATTCATTATATTTATTATATAAAGTGTTGAATAAAACGTATTTGTCTTTATTTTTAATGAAAATTGAGATAACTGCAAAAAATGGTGAATCTTCCCCACCATCAGCGTTGGGTTTTTACTTTTTAGTAGCGACTAGCGATAGCGGCGAGAATTGACAAGCCCCGGGGTTTATCGCGGGAGAGAGAAGGACATATAATGCCCTCTCACTCGCGAGAATGCATTTGGCACATAGCCGAAGCACAGTACTTCATCATACTTCGTCTCGTAAGCAACTGGTTGGCTCAGTAGGCAGAGCATCGGCATGCCAAGCCGGCGGGCCGGGGTTCGAATCCGTGCGAGGCTCATCTTTTTTTTATTTTTTTCTTGTTCTCAAGTGATTTCTAAAAAATATTCTCTATGGGAAATAGGTTCATTTAGGGGTTTTCTATGTTTGTGGTTTAGGCCAGAGGTGAGGTTCGGTTAGGTTAGCATAGGTTAGAATAGAATAGAATATTTTATTTGGTGTTAATAAACATTAAGTTTTACACAGGTCAACGAAACAAGTACAGATATACTCATAAAATAGATAGGTTAGGTTTTCTCATTTTTTATGCAGAAACAATATTTTCCTTCCTCAAGAAAAATTCTCCTTCTTCAAGAAAAAAGGTTCATCTGAGCGAGAGCGAGTTATGCGACCTTCTCTTTCCCGCGATGAACCCCGGGGCTGGTCAATTCTCGCGCGATAGCGATCCTTCGTACTAAAATCTAGTACGCAATTGTGATAGATCGTACTACTAGATTCGACATGTGATGAAAAAGTATAGAAATATAATGAAAATGAATTTTTATTTGGGTAGTTTTGAAACAATATAAACACTCAATAACTATTATAACAAAAAATGGAACTGAATAAATAACTCGGTCAATAATGAAAAAGTGAAATACAACAAAATAAATACTTCTGACAAAAATAGAAGGTGAATTTTTATACAGTGAGAACGTTAAGGTTGGACTATATTCCTCAATAGTTTTTAATATTATGTAAATATGTGAGAAAAAGCAAAGGTAAAAGCAAGTAAAAGCTCATCATTTTCAGATGCCAAACACCAAGAACGTACTGGATTATGGAGGTTACTTTATCTGTTGTCGTATTTGCGTACTAAGCAAGGTGTAATAGTAATAGATTGAGTACAATTGTAATAGCATCCCCAACGCTGCCCATCATCATAGATTAACGACATTATGCCTGTTCGTTTGTATTGCTGAATTTGCTAAAGTTGATTTCATTCTCATAGTTGTCTCTGTCATGGCATGATGTAAACAGAGATAATCATTAAAATAAATCAAGTTCAGCGGGTAGGGCAAGCACAAACGAACAGGCCTTTCATGTTAATATTAATCATGATCTCAGGTTGTGATAAGACGTTTTACCAATCTTGAAATATAGGAAGAAGAAGGCAACTTCCGACACCAGATAGGTAGGAATACTAAAAATGTGAAGAAGAAGAAAATACCCAAAAACTTTGTTTTCAACTTTTTCAGTATCCAAGAAAAGAATACAAAATATTGTATTGTTCATTCAGAAGAATAAATAAAGTTCCAATTCCTGTTCATATTTAGATGATGTCATCTCCAATTCCAAAATCTCCGGAACAAAGTGACAAAAGTAAGAAATACGACAGGCAAATCAGGTACATTTTAGGTCAATATACTATCAGAATGATTCTCTCCTAACATAAATACATAAAAGGCCCATTCAATGTCCATTCTAATCTTATTTTCAGACTATGGGGTGACCATGGGCAGAAGTTGTTGGAAAATTCCAAAGTGTGTCTCATTAATGCCACTGCATTGGGGACTGAAATCTTGAAAAGCCTTGTTCTACCAGGAATTGGATCATTTACAATAGTTGATGGTGAAAAAGTAACTGAAGAAGATATTGGATCCAAGTGTGTATTGATTTTTTGTATTTGAAATTATTAAAATACAATAATACAGAAGTTATTCTTCCTTTTTGGAAAGTTGAGCATTACATCTTTATTTATGTTGAATCTTTCAGTTTCTTTTTAGACAGTGATAGTATAGGCATGTCCAGAGCTCAAGTTGCAACCCAATGTTTGCTAGAATTGAATCCAGATGTGAGAGGTGATTATATAGATGAATCACCAGAGCATATCATGTCCCACACACAAGACTTTTTCAATAAGTTCACTGTTGTTGTTGCTACTGCTTTACCAGAAAAGTAAGTGGACAATTAGTTAGGGTTATGAACATGATATCACAGCTGAGATGCAATATTGAATAAGAAAACTAATTGTGAAAGTTTTTGACTGCCTGACTGTAGTTTTCTTAACAGGACACTACTCCCTTTATCAAGATATTTATGGGATTCAAAGGTGCCTCTGATAGTGTGTAGAAGTATAGGCTTCCTTGGTTACATAAGGCTACAAGTGAAAGAACATACTGTGATCAAATCCCATCCAGATAGTGAAAATCCTGATCTCAGGTTGTTGTCACCCTGGCCTGCTTTGAAAGAATATTTAGACAGCATCAATGTGGAAGCTTTGGACAAAAAATCTAGGGCCCATGTTCCTTCCATTGTGATATTGTATTATTACTTGAACAAGTATAAGGAACTACATGGAGGTATAGCAGCAGATACTTTTTGGAATTGGTACCAATTTAATTTTATAATGATAATAAAAGTCTTAAGGCCCAACTTCTTTCCTGATGGTCTGTGCATAAAAATGATTTTAAGAAATTACCATAACATTAATGATATAGCTAATGATACCTGTTTACCTAATTATTATCACAGCAACCATGCTATTTTCTCTACCTTGAATTCAGTTTTTCATTCTGAATTCAACAGTGTATGACAACACAAGTTGATTAACTATTTTTTGATAAATCTTTGAGAATTCTTATTCCAAATTATCAAATCCATTTTTACAAAATTGTAGAAAAAGCTGCAAACTGTTATTAAATTAATAAAAAAAAAAACATGAATTCAGGAATTGGAAAGGAATATTCTCAGATATAATTAAACATAAAAAAATGGATATACAGGGTGTCTGTAAAAGGTCTTCACAAGAACATACCACATATTCCTTAGACCAAAATAAGTCGATTTAAGTAAAATTACCTTAGTACAAAGTTGCATCGTTTGGGCTCCAGAGGGCCTTGAAGTTACAATTTTCAAATCGTTTTTCCCATATAAATTCAAAACGGCATATGTGATTTTGCTGAAATTTGGTTTATTGATAGAGTTTTATGTGGCAAAAAAAATGATGGTGTTAAAATTTTGTCCGATAATAATACATGGGCGTAGAACTTGATTTTTTAAAAATAATTGCACCTTTAAAAATTCTACGCCAATGGAAGAAAAGGAGTTTGAGTATGAAATTTAGATTGTGCAACTCATTTTCTTCAAAAAAGGTACGCTTGATAAGACTCAATTGCTCTCATGGTTTTGACGAAATTTGCATTTTAGTAATTTTAGAACATAAACAATAATTATTAAAATACAAACTTTGTCAAAACCATGAGAGTAAATCGAGTGTTATCAAGGGTACTTTTTTGTAGTAAATGGGTACCCAATCCAAATTTCATACTCGAACCCCTTTTCTGCCATTGGCGTAGAATTTTTAAAGGTGCAATTATTTAAAAAATCAAGTTCTACGCCTATGGCAGAAAAGGGGTTTGAGTATGAAATTTGGATTGGGTACTCATTCACTACAAAAAAGTACCCTTGATAACACTCGATTTACTCTCATGGTTTTGACAAAGTTTGTATTTTAATAATTATTGTTTATGTTCTAAAATTACTAAAATGCAAATTTCGTCAAAACCATGCGAGCAATCGAGTCTTATTAGGAGAACCTTTTTTAAAGTAAATGAGTTGCGCAATCTAAATTTCATACTCTAACTCCTATTCTTCCATTGGCGTAGAATTTTTAAAGGTGCAATTATTTAAAAAATCAAGTTCTACGCCTATGTATTATCATCAGACAAAATTTCAACACAATTTTTTTCGCCACATAAACCATATACCAAATTTCAGCAAAATCGCATATGCCGTTTCAATTTTATATGGTGAAAACGAATTAAAAATTGTAACTTCAAGGCCCTCTGGAGCCCAAACGATGCAACTTTGTACTAAGGTAATTTTACTTAAATCGACTCATTTTGGTCTAGGGAATATGTGGTATGTTTTTGTAAAGACCTTTTACAGACACCCTGTTATACAGTGTGATCATTTAAGTGTGCAACATATGGGAATCTTTTTAATGAATTGCACAACCAAAATACAGATAGTGCTGAAAGTTGGTGTATGTTCAGTAATCATTTTAGGTGCACTTAGAATGGTTGCAAGTCAAACAGCATACAGGGTAGGTCAAAAAATATAAAAGTTTTTCAAGAGCAGTAAAGTACCTTTATTTCAGGAAATTCAGCAAAATGTTATCCCAAACATGACCTCCTAAGACATTTTTTAGTTTTTCAATTTTTTTCATTAATAATTTCCTAATTTGTAATTTTTTTATATTCACCCTGAACACTTTCATGAGTTAATCATAACAAAATCGGTTGGGCATTCCTTTGTTCAAATTCAAGCATATTTGTTCAGTTAACTTAGATTTAAATTTTTTTAGGGAATCTCAAACTTTATGTTTGTTGCAAGGATATTCAGCTAAACTTTGAAATTTCGCAAACCATATTTCTAACAAGGTTAAATATCATCAATGATAATATGCATATTCAAAAACTTTCATTCAATGTGAATGTATTTGAAATATTCATAAAAAAGCTATGCAAATAAATCTGAAATCCTCTTAACCCTTATGCTCCATCCATACCCAAACCGCATTTGCTGCTGATTTTATTTTCAGGCGGCGTAAAAAAAAAATCATTGTGTGGTGCAATTGGTCTTGACTGAAAAATGTTTCCTGAAGGTGAGTGAATCAAAAACATCAACTATATTATGATATTGTGAATGATTTTATGCATTGAATGGCAAATGACAACAGGATTCAACATGGTGGTTCACAGTGTCTGTTCCCAAAATTTTTTTCTGGATCAGATTTCAGGACATCTTTTGTACCATAACATTTGTGTGCTCCGGGAGAGTACAGCTACAAATCAATGATCATTATCGATTTTGATTCAAACATTCTAATGTGTCAAAACTGTCCTCCATCCAAGAATTTCGAATTGCAAAAAGATCAAGATGAAATTTATGATTTGTTGGATCGGATAGGATCAGATCTTAAAATCGATTCCGATAAAGATGACCAGTGGAAGTTGAATGCACATGAACAGGTAGAAGTGCCGGAGGAATATTTGTTGAGTGGTTGGATAAAAATGCCAATAAACCAACCGTTATTCTTGCAAATAGAGAAGCTTCTATTTCAACAAATGGCAAAAGATATATGATGAAATTGACCACTGGCCTGTCATTGATTCACCGAAATCACCACGGACTTGCTGACTGGAAAGTTGCGGTAGCCGTTCAAGGACGAGATGTTAAAAATGCAATGTACGCTGATGCTTGTGCTTGAACAATGAAAATAATTGTTTCGTCACTTTTCATAACAAACCATCACAATAAATGCATATTTCTCCATGATTAGCGTTTTCTTTATTCTGAGTTGAAATCCCATTTCACTCCCAAATAACACGATTGTGAGGGTCCTGAAAATAATATTACATCATCCTGAAAAATTTCGAAAAAAATTCAGGAAGTTTCTGAGGTTACTCTGAGTCACACCTGTTAGAAAAATTCCAGCTATTCTTTCCAAATTATTCTCAGGAGTGTAAGGGTTAAGCTGAATATCATTGCAACAGACATAAAGATTGTGATTCAATGAAAAATTTAAAATCCAGTTAATTGCACAAATATGCTTGAATTTGAACAGAGGTATGCCCAACTGATTTTGTTGTGATTAACTTATGAAAGTGTTCAGGGTGAATATAAAAAAAATACAAATTGGGCAATTATTAACGAAACAAATTGAAAAACTAAAAATGTCTTAGGAGGCCATGTTTTGGTATTGAGGCATAATTTTCAATTGTAAACAACTTTTCTCAATAACATTTTGCTGAGTTTTCTGAAATATTATATTTTTTGACCTACCCTGTATGCTGTTTGACTTGCAACCATTCTAAGTGCACCTAAAATGATAACTAACTTGCACCAACTTTCGGCACTTTCTGTATTCTGGTTGTGCAATTCATTAAAAAGATTCCCATATGTTGCACACTTATATGACCACACTGTATATAAAGAAATACATTGAGAATCCGCATTCTCTATGTGATGAAAATATCAATTCTTTCTCGGTTTATTCAACAACAAAAAAATGAATTCAAGAACCCATCAAATTATATCCCATTGTAGGTAATATACCGTCTTCAAGAGCAGAAAAAGAGGAACTTAGAAAATTGATAAGGGATAGTCGATTTCATGATGAACATGGGCCAAAACTTCTGGAGGAGAATTTTGAGGAAGCCTTACATTATGTGAACAATTGTCTAAATCCTATCAGCATTCCTCAAAATGTTCAGGTAAATAATATACTGCTTTTGGATAATCAATTCCGTAGAAAGGTAATGTGATTACTTAGTTATTAAAGTAGTTAATTAAGGACTTCAATGGTGATACTGTACTTATTTATCCTTACTAGGAGATCTAAAGTTATTTGCAGATGATACTACAATAATCTATTCCTCTAAAGAATTTAATGATCTCTCAATTCTCAACTATGACAAATCTATGTATATGTATATTTCAAAATGAAACAATGATATATCAAAAACTAAATATTTTTCCACCAGAAAGCCATGAAATATTTAGATGTTACAAAATTCTTAGGTCTTTATATTGATGAACAATTATGGTGGACTAAACATATAGATCACTTGAGAAAAAAGCTAAATCCAATTACTGGCATATTACAAAATTTGAAATCACATTCCTCTTATAGATATTTGAAGAATATATATTTCTGTCTGATTTACTCAAAATTAATATACAAAAAACGTCAAAGCAGCAGTGTCAAGTACATTTAGGAACTCTACTGTTCATATGCCTCAAGGTGAGTTCGGAAATTACAGTGTCAGGCGAGATCGGTGTGGTGTTGTTGGTGTAGTGTCAAAATCACGTTATTCGCGAGATTCACGAAGTGGGCGACATCTAGGTTACATAATACGAACTTCAAACTGGGGGAAAACAAACTGTTGTCTATGGATAAAGTGCATAGACTACATTGCATTCAGCTTGCTGTAGCTGTAGTCAAACTTGTCAATGACATAAAGTGTTGGCACTGTTGGTAGTGATGATGGTTGAGTTGGTTAATTTTTTTACATTTTCATTAGTTTAGTGAACAGTGAACGGGTGAAGAATTGGAGATGGTTCAAACAATTCGAAGTAATTATGACGAGCAAATCAATTGACATATAAAAGAACAGCTACAACATGTTTACAATACCCAGATTGTCTTGCTTTGCAGGAACAAATACAAATCCATTGTTCTACAGGAGTTCCTCTTGACCCCAACTTCAATTTTACTTCATGTGGGAAAGATTTCATCGCCGAAGTTTGTAGACAAAGTGCAAAAATGTGCCTTTTGTTGAAGTCTTCTGCCTTACAGAAAATCAGATGATTAGCACGGAGAACTGCTTCTCCTTTCACTACTTGTCGGCTTTTTCCATCTAAATAGAGCAAAATATCTGCCAAAAGAACATCTACAACAGGCATTATTAACCTTTTTCGATCGAATATTGACAATTCATGTCAAGAAATTTGAAACTGGTACTGGTACTGGTGGGGGACGTTTCCACGTCAGCAACTAGTCCCCAATGGGACCTTTTTGCCAACCCCAAGTGTTTTTCAATGACTGATGTGGTTCGCTCAAGAGAGCTGGCTAACATCCTTTTCAGGGTTTTTCAGCTGTGTTTTGTAGGCTAGTAATGTACTCACTACCATATGCGCAGTGGCAGGCCTGCTAACTATCATCGTTAACCCCCGAAACCGAGGTCTACTTAAGCAGCTGGCCCGCTCTCACGCTCAGCTGGTAGTTTTCCACACCCACCTACATACACGTAGGCTAGTAATGTACTCACTACCATATGCGCCATACCATATAAGAAATTTGAAAACTTATCACTCTTATCAGTACACAGTATGCAAGCTAATGGCACTAATGGGATTGGGTGAGGATTGAGTTTGTTTTCCCCCAGTTTTGACGTGGCTTTGACATGGAACGATGAAAACCGAGCGCCACCTGGTAACATTGATTCCCGCGAATTGTGGTTTCATTTGCTCATAGCACTGGACGGGAAATTAACGATATGAGCCTAACAGACAAGTGGATATGAATATGAATGTTCCTGATAATGCTATAGACACAAATTAATTCTGAAATAGCACAGTTCCTGAGCGAATGCACTTATGGTGAATCACCCTGACTGCATGTGATGAAGAACTACTGAACATTGTAAATAAGATTATTTCCTAACTGTTTCCATTTGCTTTATTTTATTCTCATCCAAGTTGAATGACAATCTGCAAAAACAAAGTTAGCTGTTTACTGAACAAAATAATGAATTATTCACATTTTTTTTAACCATTTCTTCATAAAGTTGTAGGAATCTCCATCTTTTCTTTGTGTTTGTCATTGAAAATTAGTGCATTTTTCCTTTTGAAGAAGTTACTCATTTCATCATCACTACCTGAAATGGCATATGGAAACCAAGCCGGCTGGCAGGAGGGTTGATATCTGCCTCTTCCATCTGTTCTCCGCATTTATTGAAGCGAATTTCTCATGGGTAACTGCATTGGTCTCTTTGGTTATTTTTTCCCACAGGGTATATCTTCTTATTCCAAAATGTTGGTAAGGCTGTTTTCATCTAAAATGGTAAAAATTCAGATACTCATGAGTTAGAATCATGATGTGGATGTGACTAGGAAAAATCATATAGGTACTTTTTAGTTCATACTTTTACCTAGCTGGTGAAACTGCCAAATATTTGGTTGTTTATATGAAAGCTAAACACTAGTAAATCGATTACCAGAAGCACAGCCCCACAACAGTTGAATATAGGTACTTGTTTCAATGGTTCTGCTGGTTCCGCTAATTCAATAGGTTGAAGTTCAAATAATGGTTTAGTAGCTTCTGATGTCACTAAGTGGACCTGGTTTGCAGGTATCCAGAGATGATCATAGAAACACAGTACTGTGCTAGAAGTATCTATTCGCGGGAATCAATGTTACCAGGTGGCGCTCGGTTTTTCATCGTTCCATGTCAAAGCCACGTCAAAACTGGGGGAAAACAAACTCAATCCTCACTCAATCCCATTAGTGCCATTAGCTTGTGTACTGTGTACTGATAAGAGTGATAAGTTTTTAAATTTCTTGACATTAATTGTCAATATTCGATCGAAAACGCTAATAATGCCTGTTGTAGATGTTCTTTTGGCAGATATTTTGCTCTATTTAGATAGAAAAAGCCGACCAGTAGTGAAAGGAGATGCAGTTCTCCGTGCTAATCATGTGATTTTGTGTGAGGCAGAAGACTTCAACAAAAGGCACATTTTTGCACTTTGTCTACAAACTTCGGCGATGAAATCTACATGAAGTAAAATTGAAGTTGGGGTCCAGAGGAACTCCTGTAGAACAATGGATTTGTATTTGTTCATGCAAAGCAGGACAATCTGGGTATTGTAAACATGTTGTAGCTGTTCTTTTATATGTCAATTGATTTGCTCGTCATAATTAGTTTGAATTGTTTGAACTATCTCCAATTCTTCACCCTTTCGCTGTTCACTAAACTAATAAAAATGTAATGATGTAAAAAAATTAACCAACTCAACCATCATCACTACCAACAGTGCCGACACTTGACAAGTTTGACTACAGCTACAGCAAGCGGAATGCAATGTAGTCTATGCACTTAATCCATAGACAACAGTTTGTTTTCCCCCAGTTTGAAGTTCGTATTATGTAACCTAGATGTCGCCCACTTCGTGAATCTCGCGAATACAAAATATGGATAATATGTGATTATGATAACTGGGAAATAACATTCAGCATTTTGAGGATTGCTTACCGTCACCATATATCAGAAGGACAGAAAATCACCATTTCCATTTGCAATTGGATTTGCTTCAGCTTCCATCATCAAGGAAAACGGCATATTTTTATCCTCTTCACAGAAAATGATAATGGGCAGGTTTGAAATAAAATAGTGATGACAATCTTGACAATATTTGTGGTTAAATTACTTGGCGTTCCAATATCCATCGACGAAAACTGAGGAGTAAAAAGTGTGAACACTAATCACACCAATCTCTCTGTTCAGAACATTGGATTGTTTACCCAAAACGTGAGGCCAGGATTGGCGCAGTGGAAGAGCGTCCCACGACCATGCGGTCGTGGGTTCGATTCCCAGCACGAGCAAGGAACTTTTTTCAATATTTTATTTACGAATCAAATATTTATTATAAAGTTTCGGAGCATCGGCTGGGGATAGTCCTGCACGATTCGCTGTTGCGTTCCAATTAACAGTGCTGCTCCTAAAGTGGCGCATGGAGTTAGTAACAAAGCCTACACAGAACATGCAGAAAGAGATGATGATGTGGTTGTGAGCATCAGAGAAGAAGTAGGATGGTGTATGTATGTGGGTGTGGAAAACTACCAGCTTAGCGTGAGAGCGGGCCAGCTGCGTAGTGGACCTCGGTCTCTAACGGGGGTTAACGAGGATAGCTAGCAGGCCTGCCACTGCGCATATGGTAGTGAGTACATTACAAGCCTACAAAATACAGCCGAAAAACTCTGAAAGAGAGCTGATGAGCGGTGCCTGAAAAGGATGTTAGCCAGCTCTCTTAAGCGAACCACATCAGTCATTAATAACACTTTGGGGTTTGCAAAAAGGTTCCATTATAGGGACTAGTTGCTGACGTGCAAACGTCCCCCACCAGTACCAGTTACCCAAAACGTACACCTGTAGAAAATCCTGGACGACGACTGTTGCTGTCATGTCTTCCCTCTATTCTTATGCCTCTTTGTAGAAAATCCTGGACGACGACTGTTGCTGTCATGTCTTCCCTCTATTCTTATGCCTCTTTGTAGAAAATCTTGGACGACTAATGTTGCCTCTTTGTAGGAAATTCTGGACGACGACTGTTGCTGTCATGTCTTCCCTCTATTCTTTCAATCAGTTCTTACTGCAGAAGGAATTCCGATGAGAAATCAGAGAAATTACCAAATTTCAAAATGAAAACTATATGTGAGTGACTATAGTAGGTACTTACTTTTAAATCATAATGTACTAACCGGATTCCTTCGTCTCTTGCTGCATTTTTTGTGCATTGTACAATAGCACAATGTGATGGTATGATGGTACAAAATAATTGTTAAAAACTATTTCAATCAGTTGATAACAAATAGGAAAAGTGAGGTTGTGTTTCAATGTTTCATCTCCAGGGTCGGTCATCTGCCAGTTCTTGCCAAATATATCTACTACTCATATATGAAGCATAGCTGTCCTCAAAACGGGACCAACTTCTGTCTCTATAGGTAACAAAATCGACCAATAGGCGTTGATGCCAACGTAGGGAAACCTGTCAAACCAATATGGCTGTTTCCATCCTCCACTTTCCATCTTTATAGATTCAAAAAGTACCTCTCATTTTGGTCCCATTCTTGTTGAGATATCGTATAGGCGATGCGCCATATATAGAAATAGAAAATATATGTCTTGCTCCTTGCTTAACTCACGCGACTAATAAAGTAAAGTGTGAACATCGACTCACAGTTTACAACGTTGTCAGTTTTGAAAGCCATCTTGTTTCAACTCATTTGAAACTTTTGAAGTATACGTATGATTGTAAACAAATAGTGTTTTATGAATGAAATGGCATGTCTCCCCCTCTATTCTTATGCTTCTTTGCAGAAAATCCTGGACGACGACTGTTGCACCAACCTGACACAATCGAGCTCCCCCTTCTGGACGATGTGCGCCGCCTTGCGGGAGTTCGTGCAGCTGGAGGGGGCGCTGCCGTTGCGCGGTGCGCTGCCCGACATGGCCGCCGACACGGACAGCTACGTCACGCTGCAGCGACTGTACCACAGCAGGGCGCAGGCGCAGAGCGAGGCGGTGTACAGAAGGGCGGCGCAGATCGCGAGGAATTTGGGGGTGGCGCAGGAAACGGTGACGGAGAGCGAGGTTGGTGGTAGTTTTTTTTTCTTTCCTTGGTTTCTTGAATTCTTTTTGGGTAGGAACAACGCCACATTACGAAATAAATAGCTATTTATATATCCAAGGAAGGGAAGGTATCCAATAGGAAATGAACCTTTGCTTCCATGATATATATAACAATTTTTTCAACGAACGCATTCTTTCAAAGCACCTTTCTTGAAATTATGTTTCAGGCGGTCTATCTCTCCATCCAAATCGTTATACATTACAAAGGATGGATAATTGACGGCATTCGAACGAAAGTCAATTTGAAACTTCTTTCATCATAAATTTATTGATTTGTATATTGTGAAATTGACTAGAGTCTAGCTGATCCTGAGAAGAAACATAATTGAAATAGCGAATCACTATCGGCCTAACCAATAAATGCCTCCATAGTATTCAGAATAATTACTTGGAAAAAATAAATAAAAGAAAGATTAGCTGGAGTAGGGATCGAACCCCGTTCTTTTCGTTCGGAGGAAAAATACACAAATGACTTTGAACATGCCTGATGTCCTCATAATTCAGAGTTTATCAACCTGTCAATGTTTACTATTTTTATTCTCGAACTTCCAGTTTTCAGTAATCCTGATTATCGCATTTCCGTTTGCAGTCTTCTGAACCTGTCATTGAACGTAGTAAATCAATTTTGTCTACCTGTTCGGTACCACTCAGCTCGACAGTACGACCGTTCTGTCCTTGTCTACACCCACGCATCGGAACGACACAACCTCTCTCCACGAAGGTTCGATAGCAACGTTCGGAGGAAGGGACACTACTCTACTGACCACCACGCTTTTGGCAAAACAAACTGCAAAACAATTTTATACGCTCTTGACTTGCCACCGTGGCAATATTTCCCGTATGCGATTTTACTAAATATAATGCACGCTAGCACAAACCACGCCCACCATAATACGTCATATCTCCAAACATTACCGATATACTCGGAGTCAGCACATCGCACTAAATATACTGTGCTCCAACGCAAGAATACACTTTTTATGATTTTGACACGAATTCGACTGAAGCTCTCTCATTGTCAATCTCTTGAACGCAGTAAATTCATATACCCAAATGGTCTACTGGTTAGCGCTGTTGACTTTCAGTCTAATGGTCCATGGTTCGAATCGCTTGAACTTGAACTTTTTTTTGCAACTTTTTTTTTCACCAATGTTTTTTTACTTTATTCTGGTTTTCCTTTTCCATAAAATATTTGAAGTCAAATAGGTCAGTGCGTTTAGGATAAACAGTCTCATTTTATTCAATTTTGTTGAGGAACTCAACTTTTGAAATATATTATTAATCAATGTGTCACTCCATTCGGTTTTCCTTCCTCAGGGATAGTTTAGTTCGTTAAGGATAAATAGTCTCTGAGTTTTGCCAGAGTACTTCGAAGATGAGATATTACGGTGGGCGTGGTTTGTGCTAGCGTACAGTATATTTAGTAAAATCGCTTCCCGTATAGTGGTGCTATGGCTAAGCTCTAATGTGAAATTGGGAAGAGTATGATATCATTTGGAATTCAAAAAGGACATTATTGTTACATGTTTTATAATAGTTATAAAGACACTGGTTATTTATATTGCCCAGCTTTTATAGGTATATTGACGCCAAAGGATGCTTGCTGAAGCCAATTTATTTTACCTCCCACGGGAGTTGATATTTTTTTCCTCCCATGGGAGTTAATTGACAACTTTGTTTCTTTAAATGAGGGAACAAACGCCAACTTTTGATACAGTGTACTTAGGTAGTACTTATACTGTATTCCCGTCCATTCCCTCTTTTTCAAGGTTAAGTCGTTTTGCAAGCACGCCAGCGAGCTGCACGTGATTCGCGGTAGTTGCATAGCTGACGAGTACCAGCGCACCAGCCTCGACCTCTCCTCATACCTCGAGGACCCCGACAGCCTCATGTTCTACTACGTCATCCTCAGAGGCCTCGAACGCTTCATCAGCGAGTTCAACACCTACCCCGGACAATTTGATGACCAGGTAATACCTCAGAGTAGGGTCCCTTGATGTAAATTGACGTATTTGTCAACTTTACAGGGTACGGACAGATCCTCGTCCCCTCTCACTCTAAAGTGTTTGTGCAACAGTTCCATCTTTATTCATTTCTGGGGATAAACACTAGATTTGTGACATTTGTTGTTTTTTAGGTTATATTGAGGACATTGGCGTATCATACGTAATTTCCACATGTAATTTCTTATTAAACTCTACATATTATATCCAAATGATGATGATAATTTTCGAGTTTTTGATTTTTCCAGCATAATCTTTGTGAGGCAGTGAGCAAATTTTTCTGAAAGTTCAATACGTTTTACCTAATGGTACTGTTCTTAGGCAGTACCTATCAATAAATGAGTTTTGATTTCAGACTAAGCCTTATGGTTGATAAATTGTGAAAATTGTGCTCATATGTCATGGGTGCTGTATATATTCATGTTGGGAATCATTTTTGGAGTTTTTCACTTAATATTTCCTGAATGTAAGTATAATTTTTTAAATGGTAGGGCATATGCCTCTTCTTTTAATCCTTTGTTTTAATAACAACTGTTTCTACTAAAATGCATTCAAAAACTTATGGAGTGGATAATTATAGGCACAATGAGACTTTCTCATAATATGTGATTTCGTATTAGTTTTACCTCGAATATTCTGCTGATGTATTTACCAATTTTCCCCATTCGGTCACTTCACTTTCTATGTTCATAATTCATTTGCATTTGATGGAAAGCTGACAAATTCAAATTTGCCATCCAACTGATTGATACAGCCTAACGCAACACACTTTACCATCCTTCCAAAACAGAATTGAATAATGTAGTATTAAGATAATGTAAGTTCTCTAGATGATTAAAAGAGAAAGGAGCTATGATCTGTCCGTACCCTGTTCACCGAGATTAAAAATATCATTTCTCTCGCAATGATTCCGCAGTTATCCCCACCATTCGCGATTTCATTCATTTATCCGTGTATGGCGTTTAGTGAATGGATCGCGGTGTCTATTGTTTTCCAGTCTGAGTTCTTGTTGATCAATCAAATTGAACTTCTATTCTGTTCTATTCTAGGTCGAACCCGATGTGCTGAAGCTGAAGAGCATCATCGGCAAGCTGCTGGCGGAGTGGGGGTGCTGTCACGTGGTCAGCGACGAGCGAGTGCACGAGGTGTGCCGGTACGGGGGGGCGGAGCTGCACTCCGTGTCGGCCATTTTGGGCGGTTGTGCCGCCCACGAGGTCATCAAGCTGGTGACGCAGCAGTACAAGCCGCTCGACAACGCGTTCTTCTTCGATGCGATCACTTCTACCTCGGCGGCATTTTGTCTTTAATTTGGTGGCAATGGTTTGTTTATTTATTTACATAATGAAGAAGGCCGACTTTTTATCAAAATATGCAAAATAGTCTGTTCTAAAGGAGTAAGAGTTGACTTTTTCTAATTTCATGATATCCAACCTTCTTGGATAGGAGGTTAGAATAATAGTATTCTTCTGATTGTTTGAGTTGTCAACATGAAATTCCCATTGTTTAAAGAACTGTGATTTGGAGCCACATTTTTTTGTATTTTTTGTTTTAATCAATTTCCTGATCGGTAATAAAAATATGGATAAAATAAAAACGTCAAAATTTAGAGATTTTTACAGTAAGAAAAATTATAGTAGTGCAAAATATATTCGTTCAAGAATGTAAAACTCTCCCCATTCATAATCCCATCACACATTTGGATAGGAACACAAGTAGTGTAAAAAAATAAAACAAGTAGTGACCAAACTTAAGACCGAAAAATCTTCCTTCGGAATCCTTCCACATTTGTATCAAACTGTCTATATCTAGTTAATCTCAACTGTTTTCGTATGAACAATCTGAGAACCTTGAAAACAGCTTTCATTCATGGTTCCAAAACAAAATATTATTCTCCGCCGCTATTGGCGGCATATTCTCAGAGTATTTGCCGGTGTCTCAAGTTTCTGAATATTTGCACGAGGTGTGCCGGTACGGGGGGGCGGAGCGGCACTCCGTGTCGTCCATTTTGGGCAGTTTTGCCGCCCACGAGGTCAAGCTGGTTACGCAGCAGTACCAACCTCTCGACAACTTGTTCTGCTTTGATGCGATGACTTCTACCTCGGCGGCATTTTGTCTTTGATTTGGTGGCAATGGTTTGTTTATTTATTTACAGAATAAAAGAGCAGGTCGACAACTTATTTGTTGAGAGGAACAAGAGATGTTTGTTTGCTCTTTTCTTCAAAATAAGTAAAATAGTCTGTTCTTAAGGAGTTAGAATAGACTTTTTCTAATTCCATGATATCTACGACCCTCCTTTGAAAGGAAGTTGGAATAGCATTTTTCTGATTGTTTGAGTTGTTAAAATGAAATTTTCATTGTATCAAGAACTGTAATTTGGAGCCACATGTTTTTTTGTATTTTTTGCTTCAATCAATTTCCTGATCGGTGTCTCAAGTTTCTGAATATTTGCACGGGGTGCCGGTACGGGGGGGGGGGGGGAGTTGCACTCCGTGTCGGCCATTTTGGACGGTTGTGCCGCCCACGAAGTCATCAAGCTGGTGACGCAGCAGTACACCACTCGACAACGCGTTCTTCTTCCATGCGGTCATTTCTACCTCGGTGGCATTTTGTCTTTAATTCGGTGGCAATGGTTTTGTTTATTTATTTACAAAATAAAGGAGCAGGTCGACAACTTATTTGTTGAGAGGAACAAGAGATGTTTGTTTGCTCTTTTTATCAAAATAAGTAAAATAGTCTGTTCTTAAGGAGTTAGAATAGACTTTTTCTAATTTTATGATATCTAACCTTCTTTGGAAGGAGGTTAGAATAGCATTCTTCTGATTGTTTGAGTTGTCAACATGAAATTTTCATTGTATCAAGAACTGTAATTTGAAGCCACAATTTTTTTGTATTTGCTTCAATTTCCTGATCGGTGTCTCAAGTTTTTGAATATTTGCACGGGGTGTGCTGGTACGGGGTGGCGAAGCGGCACATTAAACCACTTTGAGAATTACAGGTGTGCGATAGTCTACAGAATTCTGACATGGTGTCTTTTCTGTAAGCATATAGACGTAGGGGTCTTGACATTTTCATTGTATCAAGAACTGTAATTTGGAGCCACATTTTTTTTGTATTTTTTGCTTCAATCAATTTCCTGATTGGTGTCTCAAGTTTCTGAATATTTGCACGGGGTGTGCTGGTACGGGGGGGCGAAGCGGTACTCCGTGTCGGCCATTTTGGACGGTTGTGCCGCCCACGAAGTCAACAAGTTGGTGACGCAGCAGTACAAGCCGCTCGACAACGCGTTCTTCCATGCGATCACTTCTACCTTGGCGGCATTTTGTCTTTGATTCGGTGGCAATGGTTTGTTTATTCAATTACAAAATAAAGGAGCAGGTCGCCAACTTATTGGTTGAGAAGAACACGAGATGGTTTTTTGCTCTTTTTATCAAAATAGTCTGTTTTAAAGGAGTAGACTTTTTCTAATTTCATGACAGCTAACCTTCTTTGAAAAGAGGTTAGAATAGCATTCTTCTGATTATTTGAGTTGTCAACATGAAATTTTCATCATAGGTTTCTTCGCATTCGAAAAATAAACAGTCCAAAACCGAAATCATCAGGAAGGAGCATGCGCAGTTGCACCGAACAGTACGCATTTTTTAAGTTCCGTGGGACAGTTCATGCTTTTGATGGTTTCAGACTATCCATTTTTCAAACGCGAACAAACCTATACTGAAAATTCCATGTTGAAATAGGTATCTCATTTGAATACAGTATCAAGAACTGTATAATGTGAAGCCATCATTTCTTTTTAGATCATTACTTGCTTTAATCAATTTTCTGATCGGTGAAAAATGTGGATAGAATAAAAACGTGTCAAAATTATAGATTTTTATTACAATAAGATAAAAATATAATAAGAGCAAAATATTCGTTCGAGTACGTAACAATCACTCCCCATGTATAATCACATCACACATTTGGCTAGGAACACAAGTAGACTAAAAAATAAAACTACAAGTAGTGACCAAACATGATCTCACAATAATGGACCGGAAAAGCTCCTTTCGGAATCCTTCCACATGACTATCAAATTGTATAAGTTTATGCCAGTCGACATTGCGACCTTTAAGTTTTCACTCTTCTTCCCTGTTTGGCGTAACCATTCCTGGTGCCCTTGTAACCGTTCCGGGAATCCCCGAAACGTGGTGGTTTGGAACGCGACTCGAATACCACGTCTGAGTCCGTGTCGCTATCCGATACGTTGGATTTTCTTGCGGCAACTGGAAATCGAAATAAATCTTTATGAACTCGAAAACAAACACCAAAGTCAGTTGACACCTCCGTTTTCAAAGATAATAATAATAATGATAATAACAATAATGATAATAACAATAATGATAATAATAATAATATTTTGCATCTCACATGAATATAAATAAATTATATCAAGATTCACAATGAAATAACATGAATAATCAGACAGATTCATATCTGGTATGAGATTATTCATGCGTTATTAAATCTAAGTTATTGAATTAAACAACAGATTCGAAAATAATGGAAATAAAACAAAAAGCTCATGAATAGTACATTATGACATGATGAAATTAATAAGGGAATGAGGTTTGATTTTCTCTTTGCAAGAGGATATGTTGTTCAAGATTCAGAATTCTGATCACCCTGTATCTGTTCCGTTTGAATATCAGTAAATAGTAAATCAGAAGTTGAGATAGGGACATGTTACCGTTTTGTTCGATAATGAATAGTTTCTACACAATTGAATCCTAAAGTTGAAAAATTTCGATTTTGAACACCCTATATCATTTCCGATAGACCCCAAGTTTGATATATCGATTACATCAACTCTTCAGGGAGAATCTGAAAATGCAGACATAACAAACTTGTTGCTACTTTCTGATAGAAGCGGCAACAATGCATTGATGAAATTATTTTAAATAAAAAGAGTGTATTGTCAAATATAAGTATGCATATTTTCATGTATCTCTCCCACCTGAATCTCGATATAGAGATAGTGTAAGCTCGTCGTGACGTACCCTGTATATTTTGGCTCCATTTTCTAAAAATGAGCAATTCCCGAAATGAAATAAGTACGTCACTGTATTATACGTAGAAAGTTATATAAAGCCCCTTTCTCATCCTGCCGATTGGAAGTTGGAAACTAATCAAGATACGGGATCTGCTCGAATAGTGATCATTTTCAACTTCACTCTGTATATGTGAAAACTTCACAAACACAAGATTCTCAATCACACGACATGTTTCGCTAGCACGGTAGCTTCATTAGATGAAATACTGGTACAATAATTGTACATGTCATGTGATTAGGAATTTTGAGAAAATTTCATTGTTTGTGAAGTTTTCACATTTGCTATGGATTTCCATCAAGTAACGACCGAGTCAATTCAAAATTCGCCCTGTATCTCAAAAACATGAAGGACTGAGAAAATTCAGTTTGCGGCATTATTTGTTTCACGAAAAAGTAAGGCAGTGATGTGAAAACCACAACACTCTATCTCCAAAGATAACTGAGGTATCCCGCAAAAAGATCGAAAACTGGACACACATAACCTCATTGCGAATGGGTTGCGTGCAAGAACTGTCAGATGACCGACCCTGGAGATGAAACATTGTAACACAACCTCACTCTTCTTATTTGTTTACAAGTGATTGAAATAGTTTTTCACGATTATTTTGGCATACGAATCTTGTTTTTCGGCTATTCATTATTTCGCGCATGCCATCATATTGTGCTGTTGTACAATGCACAAAAAATGCAGCGGGAGACGGAGGAATCCGGTTGGTGCATTATGATTTAAAAGTAAGTACCTACTATAGTCACTCACATGTAGTTTTCATATTGAAATTTGGTAATTTCTCTGATTTCTCATCGAAATTCCTTCTGCAATAGGAGCTAATAGAAATACTCCTCGTGAAATTTCTAAAATAATGCAAGAAGATTGGATTCATGCAATCAAACGGGAAGAATGCTGGTCTGACATGCTGACGAAATATGATTGTCTGTGTTGTAGACATTTTTAATCTATTAGCAGTATTGGCTTCTATTGCAGAAGTGGCAGAATGAATTTTAATGAGAAATGACAAAATGTCATGATGAAAACTATGTGAGATTACTATTTACCTGAAAAATCATATTCCTTCGTCTCTCGCTGCATATTTTGTGCATTGTACAACAGCACAATGAGAAGGCATGCTTGAATTAATGAATAGCGCAAAAAGCACGATTCGTATGCCAAAATATTGTGAAAAACTATTTCAATCCTATGATTCCTCTGTAAACAAATAGAAAAAGTGAGGTTGTGTTTCAATGTTTCACAGAAAAGTGAGGTTATGTTTCAATATTTCACCTCCAGGGTCGGTCATCGTGCACGCGACCTATACCAACCACAAAAAATCCGATTCGAATACTCACAAGGCGGCAAATCGTCGGAATCCTCGATGAGCTTGTAAGAAGTCGGTTTCGAACCCGACTCCCTTTTCGCGCACGCGCTCTGGCACAGATGCACCATTCCCCACAGCGATCCAAGAAACAGCAGCACGAACGTCATCACGCCCAAGATCACGTACAGAATGCTCCAGCTGCAATCGGAGTCCTCGTCGAACTCCAGATAGACCTTGAATATTTGAACTCAATGTAAACAACTGGAAGGGATCCTCTGTGAACGACGAGTGAGGCAAAAATATTGTTCAGGCAACCCGCAGTGGTTACGGGTACCTATCTCTTTCTATTTTATATTAGATAATGGGAAGCGCTCGCATTATTTGAAATATTTTCTCGCTTTTTGCTTTTATTTAGAACTATAGGTGATTAAATATAAATATTCATCTACGAAAAAGGTGTAACAAATCGATGTCGCCGCCCATGCTCTCTTTCAAATATAATCAAATATTCTTCAGGAGGCTAGGCAACCCATTTTTCATTAATACGGATTCAAAATCCGTGCGCGCGCCTAGGTCGGATGGTTAAGAGGGGATTTCTGAAATATCTTGGGCTGGTCATTTCACTCTTCAACGGGCAGCTTTCTCAACGAGGTGAAGAATTTAACATCCACGTCGATCGAACCCAAATTTGGTGTTTTTGGTTTTACATGTGCCCAATGTTCCTTTGGAACATCTTGGCCTGGGCCTGCATTTCATATTTAGGTGGGTAAAACTTTTTATACTACTTGATTTTTTGGTCGACCTCTTCAGGTCACATGTTAGTTGAACCTACTTTTCTTTACTTATTTGTATAATTGCTTCACCTCTTATATTATGTGATGTACTGTACTTCCTGGGGCTCATTAGCGCATTTCATATTTAGGTTTTCGACGTTTCGCTCAACCACGTGATTTTGGTGAACTTCTGAAGCGAATAAATAGTCTCCTGAACCATCATCGTTTCTATCAGCAAACCCACCAAACCCCTGAGACTGTTACAAAGGTTAATGTTGCAATCAATCATCATTCAAAAATTATTATTAATTTTTTCATTGACTCAAAAGTGAATTTTCATTTTTATTCTTACAGGATTAGGAAGTCAAATGAATACAAAATTGAAATTATATATATTCATTCAAATGTCACAATATATTGTACAGGGTGAGCGAAGCTCTATCAGAAGATGAAGAAAAACGATAGAAAAAATTTGAAAAGAGGTTCTTGAATTGTATTGAGTACCTAAGGTCTATTTTGAGCCTAATTTTCAAGAGTACTTATTTTTCCATGAACATTTTAGCATTGAAAGGTGGATGAAAGTTGAATAAAAGGTGAATAAAAGAACAGTGTTTGAACGAATTGTTTCATCAAGATGAATATCTGTGTCGCCAGAATGTACACTTTCATTTTTTCCTTTCTGGAGAAGAAGACACTCCAAAGGCAAACCTGAGAAGACAATATGATGTAGCTCTTGAGTTTGAACATTTGAACTTGTAGTTCTAACCATCAAAATGTTTTTTAGCACCTTATCAAGATGTCATTCTCCTTTTTACTTTTGATTCCAGTGTTTTCACTTTTCTTTGCAACAGTTTGAGGGTTTCATTATCAATAAACTTTGAAACTTGGCAAACCAATGTCCATATGAATAACATCGTCCTTAGAATTCAAATTATGAACATCCACACACACATTCACAGACACATCCTGAAAATATATTACTATAGTTTTTCTAAGAATCGATCTGAACAATTTTCAACTTACCCATGAAGGACAATTTATGTTTGTCTTGCTTGTTTTGCATCCAAAGGCAACACAATATAAATAACCATTGTTTATTAAATCGAAATCACAAACCTTTTCAACAACAATCAATTCACAACAACAAATTCATTCCTTTTGAAGAAACACGCCAATATTAGCGATATTTTATGTATTTCACGTGTATTTCACATAACAAGAAACAGTGAAGTTCTGTCTTCACTATTTTGCCTGTTTAGGTAAAAAAAAGATCTCAACTACTCCAATCATCGGATAAAAGAAACAATCCGCCATTAAACAACACGAGTGTGAAAGAGACAGGTTACCGTAACACAAGCTATCTTTGTTGCAGCTGCCCTTGAAACACTTTGTGCTATTCGAGAGAACGACAGTCTCCCTGTTTATTTTGAGTTCATTGCCTTGAATGTGATAAACTATGGAAGTCTTCCATTCTCAAAGTGGCAGTGGAAAGGTTGCTGCGAAAATACTGTTTATTGGACAAACGTCATATAGTGATAAAATTGTAGTTTCATATGTCATTTTTGAGATGTGCATTTGGTGGTTTATCTCGACTTCCAAATGATGATTTTCCCATGTCCCTATCAAAACTTTTCACGTACTATCAATTGATATTCAATTGAAATAAATACAGGATGGTTCAGAATTAAGATTTTTGACCAACCTGTATCAAGATAGGGACATGGAAACCGTTTATGGAAACCAATTATGAATAGTGTCGACACTGAAGTTGAAAAAATCTCGATTTTTCATAACCTATATCTTTATTATCATTCCCGCTATACCCCAAGTGTGATAGATCGATGAAATCAGCTCTTCAGGGAGAATCTAAAAATGCAATGAAATACAGGGTGTTCCATTGAAAAAATCAAAGTTGTTGCTACTTATCAATACACGGTCGATGGAACACAACTAATTATTCAAGGCACCAACTTTTCAGCATACTCCTGAGATGCGTTCTCCAGAAACGTCTAATGTGCCATCCACCGTGAATCAGCCTGTATATTTCTTATTGTATCTCCTTCACATAGATTAGTGACCTGCTGGTGAATTCTGAGCCTACTATCAATATCGAAATTAGACAATTTCTCGATACATTTTATCCGATATCGCCGAAGGTCTCGCGGGGTCCAATTCGATATGTCTTTCTCTTTTTTCATTCATTTATCTCTATATTTTTTTACAATTTTCAGGGTTAGATATAAAATTGACAAAGTTGCTGCTACTTTTCGAAATAAGCGGCAACGTCGCAGCGCTGATATTCGATGACAGAATGAAGATTTTACTTGATTCAATAAATAAATAAATAAATAGAAGCAGCGCTCAGCGTGAAATGGTCTATAGAAAGTGATAACACCAATTGAATTACAATATGTATATACCTTGAACATGTTCTGCATCCAGAAGGCCTCGCAAGTGCAAGCACGTGTTATTTCGTCGCACACGCCGTGACCGGAGCAGTTGTTTTGACAGATGGTGGTCTGGAGTTTGGCCACGGAGAAGCCGAGAAGAGAGGCATCGACACGGAGTTTTTGACGAAGATATTGGACGACGTCGTTGGCGGACGTCGGTTTTCCTTCGGCGTCTTCCACGTAGAAGGTTATCGTCGTTTTGGAGGTTTTTGTTTCGGCGCGGACGTTTCTAACCTGCAATTGAAACGGTTGTAGTCCAACGTCTATACAATCGCGAAACATTCATCAATCACGAAAAAGTTATCCACCAACAATGCTGAACGCCAAACACGGATAAATACAAGAAATCGCGAATGGTGGGGATAATTCAGATGATTGATATTTATACAAATATATTTTATATATCTAATATATCGGGATTTCTATAGTTGTTTTTGATTCTCTTTATTACCCCAGATGGTAGTCGACAGTTTGGCCACAGAGGAACAAAGAAGGGAGGCATCGACGCGTAGTTTTTGTCTGAGGTATTGGACGTCGATGTCCTTTGGATCTGGGACAAAATTATGTATAGATTCGGACTCCACGTGACTTTTACGTCAGTCTACACTCTACATAGATGGTTTTCAATGCAAATTTGAGCTATTTTTAAAATTGGCGAGAAAATAATACATGCAAAATTCGTTATTCTCAGGATCTAAGACAAACATATGTATAGATTCGGAATCCCAGTGAAATTTCACGTTAGTATAGTTGGTTCAATCCGAAGTTAAGCAATTTTTAAATTTGGACGAAAACTATGTTTTGCTTCGGAATCCTCATGACATTTTTTGTTAGTCTAGAATAGTCTAGATAGTTTTCAATGCAAAGTTAAGTAATTTTTGAAATGTGGCAGGAAGATAATCAACTTTGTTATCCTTCGGAGGTAGGACAAAAATATGTATGGATTCGGAATCCTCGCGACATTTTACGTTGGTGGATGGTTTCTAATGCAAAATTGAGTAAGTTTCGAAATTTGGCAGGTAAATTTGCAATGGTGGGAATACTGATAGAATAATTAATAATAGATAGACATCGCGATTTATTCATACATCACCGAAAAGTATCTGCCAACAATCCTAAACGCCAAACTGTATTTCACAATGGAATAATTTCATACAATTCATTACCAAATGAGTTGAAAAATGAACATGATGCAAGAAGGTTCAAAATCAATCTTAAAAAATACTTGCTCAGGACAATTTGAATGAAAAATATGTGGCATGATTTGATTACTCAGAAATGAAATGTTATAACGTTCATCTTAAGAAACAATATTAATTTGTTTCCTCTGAGTGGAATTCATTAATTAACCCTTCATTATATTTTTTTATGTATTCATCTATCCCTATTTAAAATAAAAATGTTTCTTGGCGTAATAAAGACAATCAATCAATAAACATGCCGACGATCTTCCGCAGGCAAGTGAGTGTCGAGCTCTTGCTAAATAACAGAAGATTACACAGCGATTCAATCATAAATCATTAAAAAGTATATGTCAACAATCGTAAACGCCACACACAACACACAGATATATTAAAGATATCACGAATGGTGGAGATAAACATGCCGACGATCTTCAGCAGGCTCGACCTCAGACTAAATAACAAAAGATAGGACGCAGCGATTCATTCATAAATAATTAAAAAGTATACGTCAACAAGCCTAAACGCCAAACACGAATACATGAAAGAAATCGCCAATGGTGGGGACACTAACAGACTAAATAATAATAGATAGACACTGTGATTCATTCATGAATCAATGAAAACTAGGTATAAGCAAGCCAACAATCCTAAACGCCAAACACGGATAAATGAAAGGAATCGAGAATGGTGGGGATAAACATGCCGACGATCTTCCGCATGCAAGCAAATGTCGACCTTAGACTAAATAACAGAAGAAAGACACAGTGATTCACTCATCATTGAAAAGTATACGCCAACAATCCTAAACGCCAATCAGGGATAAACGAATGGAATAGCGAATGGTGGGGATAGCTCTGCAGGATCATTGCCAGATAAATGATATTCTTTATAAATGTACGTTTTCTATACATTGCTTCACTTACCTTCAGTTTGTGCCCATCTCTAACAAGCAGGGCCAATTTACTCTTCAAATTTCCCAACTGAGCTTCCGTCAACGATTTGGAATCGAGATCCACCGTCATCTCCACCAAATAGAAGTACTTCGGGTCGTTTCTGACGACGAAGCTGACAGAATCCGTGTCAGTCAAACCTTGTTCGTCGGAGACCGTCAAATTGAACGTGTACTTGCCGACAACGAGATCCGTCAAAATGAGCACTGGCGCTTCATCGGTGGTCTCGGCGACCTATCGGAGAACAACTACGTTATTCAATAGAATAGAATAGAATTTATTGATCTCATAATATCAAATAATGACAGGTCAAAAAGAACAAATTAAAATTGAAAAATCTAGCCGAAACTAGAGCATTTACCTTAAAATATTAAAACTGGCCTATAATATAGGTCAATAAATACAATATACAATAACATAATACAAAACTAGAAACTTACAGGTAGGTACATCAAAAATCCAGATCAATGTATATATAGCAGTTTGGACATAATTCAACGATTATTTTCAAAATATTCTTCAACCGAGTATGGACACATGTCAATGAGATAATTTTTAGTTTTCTCTTTGAATTTATGCACCAAGGCAATATCTTTGAAACATTGTGGGAGACTGTTGTATAGTTTAATTCCCATTACTCTAGGTGATTTCTTACAGATTTCTATTCGCTGGTAAGGTATGGAGAAGTCTGATTTATATCTTGTGTCATGAGCATGAATATCACTATTTCGTAAATAATCGTTTTTATTTCTATGAACTGATGTGATAAAATCGATATAAATGCCATAAATAGTTAAAATTCTCAAGTTGATAAAAACAGGTCGACAGGAATCTACAAAATTCTTTTCTGTGACAAAAAATACTTTTAGCATGAAGAGAGCTTCCCCAAATACCAATCCCATAACTGATCCTAGACTGTATTTCACTAAAGTAAAATGAACGAACGTGATTTATTTCAAGTGTTTTTCTTATATTTCTAATTTGAAAACATTTGGAGTTCAACATCTTGGATAGATTTGAACAGTGTGCTCCAAAGGACAAATCTCAATCAAATAATACACCCAGAAATTTCACATTTTCTTTTCTTGTTATGTTATCTGCAGTACAAGCCCCTGGAATCTATGGTATCTCAAAAGTGTAGTGGTTGATTCGTAGAGGAAAGGAAAACTCAAAGTCGTATACATAATTTTGATGTGAATCCCAAGCGCTATATGGGCCAATGAACAGACAATTCGCGATAGAAAATGAGCGTACGCCACCTATCGGAGTATTTGAAAGCTGTCGAAGCGGCCTGTTTACTCTGTTTTCATTGGTTAACTTCGTTTTTTTGTTTATTGGTCACATCTAACAAAACAAACCGCTCAGAAGTTTTCAAGTAGCTGCCGTCAGGTGGAGTGACGTGTTGTTTTCTATCTCGAATATTATACCTCTTGTCTACTAGGTTTTTATTTAGAAAAACATGGTACAAACGAACCTTTCCGAACGCCATGGAATTCTCATCTCGCGTCCACTTCCACTTGACTACGGCCCAATCGTCTCTGGAATTAGATCCGTTCAGCATAACGGCGTTCCGAGGCAGTTCCACCTCGAAGTCTTTACCCGCGTCAGCTGTCGGTTTCTGATTTTTATCTGGAAAGTTGAAAGTAATAGCGGGAACCAATTCTCACCCCAAACATATTTTGAAAGAAAAATGTGTAGATCTTCATCAATCCTTAGTAGTGTAACCAAGCCGATACGGGACTAGTGACCCTTGATCTCACCTATGACCTCGTTGACAGGTGGCAAGTGACAGGTGACAAGTGGCGAGTGGAATATGTTAGGGGACATGAGAATAGTAACAGAAACTCAACGGCAAGTGACAGGTACTATAGTATACTAACTTTGTTTGACGGTGACGTACACCTTGTCGCTAGCGGCATTCTTATCCTCGTCGGCGACCGTGACCTTGAAGCAGTACACGCCCTTGGTCAGTCCCGTCACGTTCGTCCTGTTCGAATTCTGACTTTCGAAAGCGACAGTACTATTTTCCTAGCTTTTTACGGGCTCGAAAATAACATTTTCTAGTAATGTGGTGAAAAAATCATGTGTGTTTCAGTTCCAAATTCCACATCAAAATGGTATATTTTCAAATCGAAATGGATAAATGTGAATTTCTATGAAACCTTAGTAGTATACCTGAGTCAGTACGGAATCGCTGACCCCTAATCTCACCTGCGACCTCGATGATAGGTGACAAGTGACGAGTGACAAGCGATAGACGACAGGACAGGTGACAAGTGACAAAAGCTCAACAAGTGACAGGTAGTATAGTATAGTATAAAATTCGATCACCAACTTTGGTTGACGGTGATGTAAACCTTGTCGCTAGCGTCATTTTTGTCTTCATCAGTAACCGTGACCTTGAAGCAGTCCACGCCCTTCGTCAGTCCTGTCACGTTCCTGTCACGTTCGAATTCTGACTGTCTGAAGCGACAGTACCATTCTCCTTCCTTCATTAGGAGCCAAAAATAAAGTTTTTTAGTAAAGAAGTAGAAAAAAACATGTTTTCCAATCCCAAATTTCATCTCCAGATGGTATATTTTCAAATCAAAATCGGTACATGGGTATATCTCTATGAAACCTCAGTAGTATACCTAAGACGGTACGGGACCACTGACCCCTAATCTCACCTGTTACCTCGGTGACAAGTGACAGGTGATCAGTGATAATGACAAGAGACAGGTGACAAGTAGAAGAAGCTCAATGACAAGTGACTGGTAGTATTGTATGAAATGCGATCACTAACTTTGGTTGACGGTGACGTACATCTTATCTCTAGCGGCATTTTTGTCCTCATCGGCAACAGTGACCTTGAGGTAGTACACACCCTTCGTCAGTCCTGTCACGTTCAAATTCTGTCTGTCTGAAGCGACAGTATCATTTTTATTTTTTCTTAAGGAGCCAAAAATGAAATTTTGTAGTAAGGAAGTTGAAAAAAATCGTGTTTTCCAGTCCCAAAGTCCACTTCAAAATGGTATATTTTCAAATCATATTCGGGAAATGAGTATATCCCAATGAGACCTCAGTAGTGTACCTAAGACGGTACAAGACCATTGACCCCTAATCTCACCTGTGACCTCGGTGACAAGTGACAGGTGATAAATGACAGGAGACAGGTGACAAGTAGAAGAAGCTCAACGACAAGTAACTGGTAGTATAGTATAAAATGCGATCACTAAATTTGGTTGACAGTGACGTACACCTTGTCGCTAGCGGCATTATTGTCCTCGTCGGCGACAGTGACCTTGAAGCAGTACACGCCCTTGGTCAGTCCCGTCACGTTCGAATCCTGACTTTCGAAAGCGACAGTACTATTTTCCTACCTTATTACGGGGTTGAAAGTAAAATTTTCTAGTAAGGTGCTAGGAAAAAATGTTTTTCCGTCGACCTCGTATTAACGACTAAGTTTAATGTATATGAAATCGTTCATTAATGACCCCTATTAATGGACGATTTGTCTATTAATGCACGATTGTTTTATAGGCAACCAAACATACACCGAGTGCATTCATTGTTTGTGCTATAACTAGCGGAATCTGCATTTAAATCGAAAATATGGATTTCATCGACGATTTTCCGTTAACGGGTTCGCCTTTCCAAGTTTCTGACACGATTTTAATCCCTGTTTTCTAACACAAGGAATTTATTTCCTATGTTGATCATTTCGACAAATGTCAAATGACACTAATGTCAGTAACAAGGCTACTGGGTGATTCTTAGCAGTTTCCGGATGGATGATGAATTCGCGAATTAAGTTTTCTTCATTGCAGGAGAAATGAGAAATATAGTCGACGGAAAAATTTTGTAACCAACTTGTATATTAAAAGGCGATTAATGATCTCGAACATTAACGCACTCGCTTCGCTCGCACGTTAAAATATCTCGATCATTAATCGCCCTCATTAATACACTAGTTGGTTAAATAACTATTTCAGTCCCAAATTCCACCTCTAAATTAAATATTTCCGAATCGAAATGGATAAATGTGAATTTCTATGAAACCTCAGTAGTATATCTGAGTTAGTACAGGACCGCTGACCCCTAATCTCACCTGTGACCTCGATGGCAGGTGACAAGTGATAAACAACAGGATAGGTGACAAGTGACAGAAGCTCAACAAGTGACAGGTAGTAAAGTATAAAATCCGATCACTAACTTTGGTTGACGGTGACGTACACCTTGTAGCTAGCGGCATTTTTGTCCTCATCGGCAACAGTGACCTTGAAGTAGTACACGCCCTTCGTCAGTCCTGTCACGTTCGAGTTCCGACTGTCTGAAGCGACAGTACCATTTATCATCCTTCTTTACAGGCCAAAATTAAAGTTTTCTAGCAAGGAAGTGAAAAAAAAACATGTTTTCCAGTCCCAAATTCCACCTCCAAATGGTATATTTTCAAATCGAAATCATGAAATGAGTATATCTCAATGAAACATCAGTAGTGTACCCGAGACGGTACGAGACCACTGACCTCGGTGACAAGTGACAGGTGACAAGTAGGGGAAGCTCAACGACAAGTGGTTGATAGAATAGTATAAAATGCGATCACTAACTTTGGTTGACGGTGACGTACACCTTGTCGCTAGCGGCATTTTTGTCCTCGTCGGCGACAGTGACCTTGAAGCAGTACACGCCCTTGGTCAGCCCTGTCACGTTCGTCTTGCTCGAATTCTGACTGTCAAAAGCGACAGTGGACGGTCCCTCGACCTGCTCCCACTTGTAGGCGATTATTTTGTTGTCGTCGGAGCTGTTGGACGCGTCCAAGACGATCCACGTCTGCGGCAGGCTGATGGTGGCGTTGGCGCCTGCGCTGGCGACCGGCGGTTTGTTGGTGGGGGGTTTCACGAAGACGTGTACCTGTCGAGGATGACAGTAGTTTTTTTGTTTAATCAATTGGAATCTATATATCTTGTCATTGAATATTAATTAGCTTCAAACAAAAAACGTCTTAAGCCACACCGCCGTTATTAATCATCCGAATTTGAAAAACAAAAAAAGCAAATGAAATTACGATACTATGAAGAGGCTCTGATCATTATTCTTCAAATTTCAACTGAAATCCTAGCGACCTAAACAAACAATACCATCTAGTAACTTTAGTGTATGAAAAATTGGTTTTTGGACAAAATCAGTTGAAGTAAAAAACTATTGCTCAGTTGACAATAGATATTTTCATGGCATTTTTAAATGTATCATTGAGGAAGGCAGTGAACGTCACTGAAATGCTAATTATTTCAGTGTTTCATTTGACAGATATACCGCTTGTGAATTTATAGTCTGCTGTAAAATAAATGTATTCAAATTGATCATCGTTATACACATAGCGCTATTGGACTGTTAGTGAATAATAGGCATTCAATTACTCCACTGGACCTGAATTGATTTTTGCAACACTTGTTACGGGTTTTTTATGTAAATAATGTGTCTATGCGTTGTTCGAAATTGTTGAATTTCAGAGCTCATTTCCAACATGCCGTCATGGCCGCCATGACATTCACTCAGAGTTAAAATACGATTCCCTGTGCCAGTACGACGTTGCCTACATCATCAAAATGTCTAGATTTGCGGAAATTGGTCTTTGAATGCATAATAACTATATTATAACAGCAATCTCTCAGCGGCTGAATGAAGATAAATTATGATATTTTGCGATTGTATCTATACTTTTTCACTATCGTTGTATTACAATATGTTATTCATGACTTGTCATTCATTTTTTCGCTAATGAATTCGTTCCTTAATAAAACGGATCTATTTTCTAGGGAACTTGCAGATTATATCTGAACAGTGCCTAATACTTCGAGTCCGTCCACATCACTCAAAATAATGACAGGCACAACAAGAGGAAGGAGCCATGGGTGTCGGCTTCATTCTGTTCTGACCGATGAGAGTAAATTGGGAAGAATAGTATCATTGAATGTAGCCGATAGTGATTCATTGATTCAATGATATGTTCGTTTAGGACCGAGCTCTATTCGAGATATTTCAATGCATAAATAACAAAACCATGACCTGTCAGAATGAAGCCAACTACCCTCTGAATTCCTGCTCTGAGTGCATTTGTGGTTATGTATGTTTTTGTTTACCAGTTTTACTTCTTCTTCTATTGTTTTCATCCGTTTTTCATTCGTTAGCAATTCACTAGCTATATTCTTCACTATTTTCAGACTAGATTCAGAATGTACGTCACAGTTTGCCGCCCCGAAAATTAAAAATCGCTTTAATTTGGAAATTCATCTGAAGGAAACTTTCCAAATTTTCACACACTCAAAAATATTTCTAACAATTCATACTCACTTGTGCTGTACTGGACTGATTCGCGCTATCCGTCACTTTCAAATTGAAGGCGTATATACCTTCTTGCAAATTCGACAAATGCAAGTATGGCGTTCGAGTGTCTTGCATGTCGACGGCCTTTTGTGCATCGTCTGCTGATTTAGTCCACTCCCACGTCGTGATGGCGTTGTCGTCTCTGCTCAGATTCCCGCTCAACGTTATCGAATTTTGCGGAAGGTAGATTATCTTCTCCTCACCTGAAGATTTTCGTAATGTTTAGTTATTTTGCCAGTCAGTAGAATCCCTACAGTTGAGGCGGATTTATTATATTTTTTCATTAATCTGTAATGTCACATTCATTAACGCTTTCACTAATGAGTTGGAACTTGGTATTCCCGTTCATTCATTCATGCACCTAAATAGAATTTTATCTTTCATTAACTATTCGCTAAAAGATGACCAACTTTCATCTCTTATGGTGGATTTATAAACTCAACTAAACTAAGAACTTGAATTAACAATTAGCAATTAACAACTATAAGGAGGCGTTCATAAACATCATTAACTGACAATTTAGAATAAGGTCTTTCATTGTTTCGTGCTTCGTCGACGTTTAGAGTTAAGAAACCGTTCTGGGCGTTCTGTGATAAATGATCATTCATTCTTCATTCTCGTTTTTGGTTATGTTATGTTTGATAAAAGGGTTGATTTCTTTCCTGATGAAAAATATTTCATATTCATTGGCCTTATCTTGAATCTCCGATTTCCAGTAAAATAACACCCATCATTTCAATAATCTCTTCTGTATCCATTGTTAATTCTTCGAATTCACTCACCTTATTATAAACTCCTTATCCATAGACAAGATATATTTCATATTTTCGCGGTCTTATTCCTTAATGTCAATGTAAAAAAATATTATGCCTTATGCGCATGCGTTGAATCCATAATTGTTAATTCTTAGTCGAAAAGATGAAAGATGGCCATCTTCTTAGTTGTTAATGGTTAGTTTAATTGACAGATACAAGTTTATAAAACCCCAATAGGATTTCCATGTATTCATCTTTCTTAATTCTCAGTTGTTAATTTAATTGTTAGTTTAGTTGAGTTTATTATAAATCCACCATTAACGACAAATACGAAAAAAACTGCCACTTATGTAGATCCGATTCTGTCAGAAGTCAGACAAACAATTTCTTCCTCTCATTTTTCCAAAATGTGGTTGAAAATTCTGAAAATTCTAGGTGTATGTTCAAATTAGACTTTGAAAACAATATGAATGAATGATTCTTATTAGGCCTGTTCGTTTGTGCTTGCTCTACCTGCTGAACTGTATTTTTTTTATGACTTTCTCTGTTTACATCATGCCATGAAGAGAGACAACTATGGGAACAAAATCAACTTTAGCAAGTTCAGCAATACAAACGAAAAGGCCTATTGTAATTATATGATCACTGAATGTTGTAACACCAACATTTTCATCGGGCTATGTAAGCAGATGCAGCAGTTGCAGATGTGGCAACTGTGTTTACAAGAGAAAGAGGTGGCGCTAACATAATGTTGCCAAGTTGAAATACCTCATTCTCCGCTTAACTTTACTGTTCCCATTTCGCGATAGTATTAACAAGAAGACAGTGATGCTTGTACTAAAATCAATAAAAAATACAACCAAGTAAGCAATTTAGTTTTTATTGATTCAAAATGTCTTCCTTTCTCTACATGAAACTCAATATCATGGATATATGCACTGTTATTCAATACAAAATGAAATTTCACTTACAATTTTAAATAATCCAGCAATAGAAATCAACTAGCTAACTATGATACTAATAAGGCAAAGCAATTTTTCAGTACCACAAATTTTCACGTAGATAGGTAGGCATTACTGTGTTATCTAACAGAATCGGTAGGTATCATTTGCTGAAATGAGAAAATCGAAATCGAAATGAATATCCGACTAGTCATAGCATGATGAAAAAAAAAACGAAATTATTTCAAGGTATTCCAGAGCGATATATTTCGAGATATATACTTTTAGAAATGACTGCAAAGGCTCACTCTTCCTGGGATGAAAAGTGAAATAATGGGCGATTGGGCTAATATTGAATTATTGGCATTCAATCACTCCACCGTGTCGTTAGGGACCTTTTTTTATGTAAATAATGGGTCAATGCATTGTTCTAGATTGTTGAATTTCAGAGCTCATTTCAAACATACCGTAATGGCCGCCATTCGGCGATATGTCGAATGACGAATGAATGCTGTTTCATTATTGGTCAGATAATCTTTCATTCCCACTCATGAAGAAAGGTTGTCAAGTCACCAATTATAATCAAGTTAAATGATGTTAAAGAGTCCTGTCGTTGAATAAAACATAATAAGAGGAACCAATGAACTTTTCGAACAACCAGCAAATATTTCTTATACTCCATAACCAAATATTATGTAAATGTTGGAGACTTGGCAACATTTTGCTGAAAGCTGAGAACCGGCAAGACCACGCCCACAAGTCGTGCGCCGTGTTGTCACGTTTACCCGAGCGTTTACAGGTTCAAATGTCCTCTAGTATGAATTAATATAATTATTATTTACTCAAATGTATTAAAATCAATAAGCCACAACACATGAGGAAACATTTTGAGACAATTGATTTTTTCATGCTTTTTAGGAATATTACCAATACATAATTGAGAGTTTATGGTTTATTGAATAGCTAATATTCCTGAAGTTACCAATCGTATTTGAACATATGGCAACTGTGCTATGGTCTGCCTTTACTTACGAAATCGTGACGTCATTTTTTACTCGCGGAAAATTTCTAGCCGTTTGAAAATTACCGTGGCATTATTAATGATTTTACCACCTAAAAATCGACAAAAAAAATCTGGAAAAATATGAAATTGAAAGGTATTTGAGTGATGATTCCATTTAAGAAATAAAAAAAAAAACTAGTCCACTGGACTATTCTCAAATATGAATCACCTAAGTTTCCTGTCATGTGTCACACAATAGACAAGCACAAAACATTCAAACATTTATTTGATTAATATTAAAAATCGAAATACCTGCATTTGCTTCTGGGGGATAATCTATCCCAGCTAGAACGGTGATATTTGCAGTTGCACTGCTTGTCGCTTTATCAGTATCGGTGACAGTGAGTTTGAACGTGTAATTTCCTGGTTTTGTGAGATCACTCAGTTGCAAAGTCGAACTATCTTTCAACTGCGGTTCATATCCTGTGCACAAGAAAAACAGATACACGGTGACATTTTGTGAACTTCCCAACCTCAATATCTTCTTTCCAGTAAATAATATGAAAAATCTAGAAGACAGTTCAATTTTATTTTCGAGGGGAACACCTCAAAACCACAAAAATGTATTGTTCTTAACACAATAAACGAATCTATCTATCTAATCTATCTATTTTTCATAACATTTACTGAAAGAAGATATTATCGGGTGGGAAGTTTTCGTCGATTTTTCATTTTATTTATAATCCAGTGAATAGAGACACATAGAGAGGGTTCACCTTACAAACGGTCCGGTAGTTCTGAATTTTTGATATGTTATCTAGGATGGTTATTGAGTGTTCAGAATGCAAAATGCACAATTCCCCCCCCCCTCCGCGCCCTCCGCCATATTGAAAAAACCCATAGAAATCGGCACTTCCTCCAGATTTTTGCGTATATCTTCGTTTTGGTGCATTTAAGCTACAAATGAGCTCGATTCAAAGTAGTAGAGGATTAAATTTCCTATAATTCTCGTTTCGAATTTTGTTTCTTGTTCCGGAATTTTGTCAAGTACGTTCAGCGACACTATGGCACCAATGTGATGGTGATTTTTGATGGCTACACTACAGATCCTTCTCAGCAAGGGACCAAGATTGCTGAACGAGCAAGAAGGTACAAGGCAAACTCATCATCAAACGTGGTGTTTGACAAAACCACTGTCAACACCGTACCTCAGGATAAATTCCTGGCCAATGAGAGGAACAAGGACCGATTTGTGAAGCTGCTCTGCAATGAGATGCAAGCGTAAAATACAGTCACAGACCAAGCTTCCGAAGACGCTGACAGGTTGATAGTTGCCACAGCTAAATGTCTGTCCCCCACGTACGACGCCGTCATCATTGTCGGAGAAGACATTGACCTACTCGTCCTACTGACTGGCACAACACCTGCGGTGAACAATGTCTACCTCGAAAAACCAGCGAGAGGGAAACATCCAGACGCAATCTACTCCGCCTCCTCCTACAAGTACAACTCCAAAGGCTGTATCTTGCTCCTGCACGCAATATCGGGATGCGACACCACATCTGACATTTCTGGGTTCGGAAAAAATAAATTCTGCCAACATTTTAGGAGAGACCCATCAAGCGGAGAGGTTCGAGGACCCTGCTGCCAGTCCCTAAGAAATGTCAGTAGCAGGGAAGAGAATCTTGGTATCCCTATAACCCTATATGGTGGCAGTAAAGAACAATCGTTGAGCTCCCTTCGCTATAGCAGATTGAAAACAAGTACCCTCAAACTCAATCTGGCTAAACTACCTCCGACCACTGACTCCGCACATTTCCACTTACTGAGGACATACCACCAGGTCATTGAGTGAATGGGTAGGTAGGTAATCAATTGAAATAGTACCTGCATCTTGAGCATCGCGCTGTGTCATGTAAAAATTCAAAGTAGGATTAGTATAAACTCCAAATTCAAGCTCAAACTGTAAAATGGTTAGTGCATATTTTTAGATACAATGTAGAGTCACAATAGCCAAAAAACACTATAATACTTGTTTCCCTAGAATAGGCCATAAGTGAACTACAGCGTTCTAAAGTGAGAAGTTTGACAAATTTCCGGAAAATGCGATTTTTTAAATTTTTTTAAAAGGTGCATATCTCCGTAACTATCAGTCCTAGAATCAAAATTCAATAGGAAATTCAATCCTCTACAATACTTAATGGGACTCTTTTGTAGCTAAAATGCACCATAACGATAATATAAGCGAAAATCTGGAGAAAGTTCCTATTTTTCCCGGTTTTTTCAATATGGCAGTAGGCGCGGAGGAAGGGGAATTGTGCATTTTGCATTTTAAACACTCCATAACCATCCTAGATAACATATCAAAAATTCAGAACTACCGGACCGTTTGTAAGGTGAACCTCCTCTATTCACTGGATTATTACTGGAAGGAAGATTTTAAGGGTGGGAAACTGCTCAACAGAAATTGATTAAATAGGGTACCATTGGGAAGAGAATTGAAAGCTCTTCAAAATGATGTGCCACTTGACTCTCCTTCCCATTTGAGATTCTAAGGGTAACATCTACCCCTCCTAGGGGGTTGAACAAAGAGGGCTAAAACTAATTATATCAAGTGTCCCCCTTGATAATAAAATCGACCTGTTTTTTCGAATTCTCCTGTTATTCACTGCAAGGAAGTGGGAAGTTTGTTTTCAAAATGTCACCCTGTATTGATAACATTATAACAAATACCCGAATAGTATCTTTTTCGATGAATTTTTACCTAGAGGTCCTTGTTGAAGTTCCCATTGCCAGGAAACAATACCGTCATCGTCAGTTGAAGAGGACGCATCTAGTACGGCTGCCGAATTCGGCTGTTTAATTGTTTGATTAGCTGGTGTTATTATGATTTTTGGCGGTTTATTAACTCGCTTCGCCGCCAACACTGTCACATTCACAAAGGTCTCCCCATAAGCTGTTTCTGTAGAAGCAGAAACCTAAAAATGGAAGAATTACTATTCCCATATCGCCATGGTCTTGTTCCATATCCCAAAACATCAATTTTGGGAAATTGGATCTTGAGATTTTATGATGAAATGATTAAATCTTCATAAGATTTCCTTGGGTTTTGACCTTTATACATGTCGCACATATATTTAGCATGATTATTTGCTATGCAGCATTGGAAAACGTTGAATATATTTTGATTTATCCGAGATTTTCATAATGGATATAGAACAATAATCGTAACTTCCGTAAATATTACAAAGAATAGTGGATATTGCACATCTAGTTAGATAGATAGATAGTTTATTAATAGTGAAGAATTGTTCTACATCCATTGATATCCGAGATATTTGTTGAGGTATACCAACTCTTTACCATGCAACATACACAAACATTGTCATGAAAGGATAGGAGAATATATTGAAAAGCATAAAAAAATCGAGAAAATAAGGAGATATAATATTAAACATGAAATCATGGAGATCTCATCAGATTTGCATAGTTCAAATCATTTCATTTTTTTGATTTCTTCAGTCCAGTCATCTTTTCCCGTGAAAGTGCTTCTTCTTTGGTGCTGTACTTGCGGCTTTGGTGGTACTCGAAGTCTGGGTTTGTATTTTGTTTGTCGCAAGTATTGTGTCATAAAATAATTTTTCTGCATCATTGGGAATGAAAGGTTTCATTTCTGTAACGTGTTTCTCTTCATATCGGAAATTCCAATCTTTCGTTCGGCAAAAGGCACATCATTGCAGAAGAATTAACTTTTTTTCAAGGCGACATTTCGTCCGTTTCTTGTTTCTATATATTGTTACCATTTTTTGTATTTTTACATCTTCAAAATCAGTGTCGAATTGATTTTTGAACCTGATTGTGTTAACATCGGCTTTATATTATGTGTTTCAATCTGGTATATGGAACAATCAATGAAGGAACAAGATAATTCCGAGTAGGCATCATAAATTTCGGGATGTAGTTAAAATATTTACTGAAAACTGCTCCATCGATCAAGATAACGCTGGTCTGCGGATGGATAAAGAACAAATAATTTTTTTCAAATTTTTCCATGTATTCAGTTCAAAAAGTAATGAAATGTGATATAGAACAACTAGGGTGACGATATGCTAACATTTTTTTTTCATTTCTCTCAAGATCAATTATTTGTAGTGAAAATTCCACACCAGTGATTTTTATACAGTTAAATTGGGTTTTTATGACAAATTACCATAGCAACATATGTATTTTAGTGGAAATTTTGTTTCTTGGGTATCCACCAGCGTATGTAATCGGAAATTTTTTTATGACATTTCAATGACAGTGTAGTATATAGATGATTCAGGCTATGATTCAGATGTTTATGTAACATAGCGATATGATGTGTGGAGACAGAAATGTGAGTCAGTCAATATACGATAGCCGAGCTATAGAGAGTTACTGGTGTTTTATTCTATACAATACATGATAGTGAAGATTATACAGTACGTGATAGTGAAGATTATACAGACAGAATAATATTTTGACGTCCTGAAATAGTGATTTTGTTTTTGTACCACATCAACAATTAATAGGCTAAGAATCCATTGATGTCCTAACACTAACAGCATCTATTATATAGAATGTCATACCATTGGGCCAGTGTAAGGCGTTATGGAAGACTAAAATTCGAAATCTCTGGTACTGATACGCTTCAACAGGAAGATCAAATTACTAAGGTGGACGGACATACTGACCTTCATTAGAAATTCACGGAGGTTCGAAAAGGAGAATAAGGAGAAGGAATAGTAGATAATAGAGAGTTTAAGTAATCACTGTACGTAGACCTCCACGTAGACGTTAACGTACGAAAAATAACGTTTACGTATTGTCGTTGAATTGAGTTGAAGTCGCCACTTTGGTCGTCACTGTCATCATAACGTAATAATACATTTTGTTTTCGGTTTGTATTGGTCATTTTTTGTTGTGTGTTTAGATTCGAACATTTATTCCTGTCAAAATTAGAGGACTCCTTGATGCAGAACTCGTTGGTGATCTCGAATTTGATAATTTTGACTCATCGGCATATTTCGAGTATAGTTTGGTTAACGTACGTTGATATTTAAGGTATACGTGAAGGAACGTGAGATAACGTACACCCGTAAGCCCACTAACAACGCAAACGTGAAGAATTGGAAAATGCGCATGCGTAGCTGTCAATTTCTACGTTTACGTTCATGACAACACTTCAACTCTCTATTATGTGCACATGACGTGTGCAGCAGGGGTCGGCAAAAAAGGCTCACTGGGGCCTACTTGCTAGGCGACCGCTTCCCCTTTCTCTACTACTAGTATGTACTTATACCTTGTAACAGAATCCTATGAGCTGTAGAATCCTATAGGTACTTTGGCTATTTGGGTACTATATACGCGACCTACACTTCTTTTTATTAATCGCTAATAATCCGTCAATATGAGCAGAACTAGATGGCGCGAGCAGTACCATTTTATTCTGAATATTGAACATTATTTACTCGTTTTTTTGTCGAATTTAGAACTACCGACTTTTTGCAAATCTAGTTTGTTGTCAGCGAGCCTTCCAAAAATATAGTGGCTTTAAATCAATAACCTTTTGGATTCATCTTGTAAAATTACTTTAGTAATCTTCCCAAGTGTTCCTGGTATTAGGTGAGTAAAAACCATGGTATTAGTTTTTAGTCTGTGTCTTCTACAAGCTCTGGTGCCCCCTTCTTGCATAATAAACGGCATTCTATAAAGAAACACTCTTGAAGAACCACATTTATTTACTCATCCCCTGAGAAAAGTCCCCTCCCGGTACAACCTATGAAAAATTAGTTGGCAAAATTATAATGAAAAAAAGTATCTTGGGATTTGGTTTGATGATAAATTGAAGTGGGACAAACATATAAATGTTTTGAAGAAAAAAATATCTCCTATTATTGGAGCCCTGAGAAGATGTCCCAAGCTGAATAAAAAAGTTGCAAATATAATTCTATATCCTCATATACTCAGTCGTATTAACTATTTGATAAATAATGTTTGGGGATACTGTTCAAAAAACAATTTTAATAAAATATCTGCATTATATAAAAAGACATTGAAAGTACTGTATCGTTTACCATATGATACACCAACAAATCAATTATATAAAATAACTGAATCATTCTCATTAGAAGAAATGTTCAAAATTGAAAGACTGAAAATTACATACAATATCATAAATAAAAGATTGAAATCTAATTTTATTTCAACACGAAACAATGAAATTCATAATTACCAAACTAGACAACATGGTTTATTTCATCTTGATATGGCTAATTCTTCTATAGGCCAAAAAAGATTCACCCACGCTGCTCTCTTGGAATATAACAAATTACCAGATAATATAAAAAATTGCAGAAATACAATAAAATTCAAATACCAACTTAAAAAATTTATCATTTCTGAACGAAATAGATGATTTTTTTTTCCTCAACTTTTGATTCATATTCAAATTGATTTTTGCTCACCAATATGAAATGATTTGTCAAAATTTAATACTTAATGTTTTCAAATATTATATTATTTATTAGTTTATCATAATTGTATAGTTTTAGGTATTATTGTTAACTATACTTCCTTATACCAGAACTTGATTCTGACTGGAAGTAACATTTTCAATAAATAAATAAATAAATAATTTCTCATCACTTGTAGTATCCCGAAGTTAATATAAAATGGAAGAATATAATATGTTACATTTTAAACTAGTATTTTCATGCAAATATAATAGGTAGAAATCAGGAATCTATTATTGGTGCCGAAACTGCGACCCAAACTAAATTTATTCATGAACCTGTATGCAAATCAAATGAACAAATTGATTCTAAAATTATTCAATTTCCAAACACAATCTGGTGTGGAATTTTCTTACCGAATACCACACGAGGTCAAATTACTTTCCGTCGTCTTCGACTCGGAATAATATTTAAAATATCCATGAGCTCGAAAAAATTTTCGGAAATAATTTGACCTCTAGTGGTTTGGGGTCAGGTTCGCACCAGATAGCAGTTATGAATGTCATCTGGGCACCCCTGAAATTATGGGAGCTACGAGCTCGAAACCGGTCTGTAGGCAGTCAAGCGTTCCTGAACAATTTAGGCACAGCTCAGCATTTAGGAAAGAATCACTTGCAGCTGTATTGGTCTTTACGAATCGTTACATAAGATATAAATATCGGGAGGATGTTTTTCTCTCGATATCTACCATTTCTGTTCATTTTATGAACCATTATATGATAATTACTTTGAGTTTCTCACTCTTTGTGATCGTTACTAGATGAACAAGATTTTAAAAAATTGTCTTTCTGCTTCTTCACGTGAAAATTCTTAGTTTTGGAGATACAGGGTGTTGATTTTTTTTATACGTGAGTTCATGATCATTTTATATATAAAAACGTTTTATCCGAATTTATAGCATATTTTGTCCAATATAGACGAAATGAACAATTTTTTCAACTTGTCCAATTCGACATATTCATTTTGGAGAAGATAAAATCTCGTGAATGCAGTCTTTCTTCATTTCCATTCATGAAAACACACAAATGATAAGTTATTGTTGATTCTTATAAGAAATAACTCTAAAAGTAGCAACATCATTATAACAGAACGAAAACAAATGATAATAGGAAAAGAACTAGAAATCATTTTTCATTTATGGTTCATTACATGACATAATTGTGATTATTTTATCAATTTTAATAACATTTTTCAATATCTTAGGAAGACCGGACATAATCAAAGAACTTGAAAATACTCACCCTGTTACAATAGTTATTTATGTACCAAGAACGAAAAACTGTCTATTATAGTCGAGTCTGATAATTGATAGCCGAGGCCCGGCCGAGCCTAGCAATCAGGCGAGACAAAATAGACAGTTTTTCGCCGAGGTGCATATCAAATTCTCTCATCGACCTCAAACACTTATATTCACACACCACAGTCTCATTCACAAGTAAAAT